TTCCTTCCGCTGAAGTCGTGATTCTTGGCGATTTTAATGCCCACCATACCGAATGGCTTGGTTCACGTACAACCGACTATGCGGGAAGATCTGTTCATGACTTTGCTTTGGCTTATGGTCTGACGCAGCTTGTTTCCTCGCCTACGCGAATACCTGATGTGTTGGACCATTCACCTTCACTGTTGGACCTTCTGCTGACCACCCACCCAGACAACTATGTGATTTCCGTCGAAGCTCCGCTTGGATCGTCGGATCACAGTCTGGTGCGGAGCGAGGTGCCTCTCATGAGTCCGATTCCACCACGTTCCACGGGTAGACGTCGTGTTTGGCACTACAGGTCAGCAGACTGGGATGAGATGCGGATTTTTTCGCATCTTACCCATGGAGGCAGGTTTGCTTCACACTGGATGATCCCGACGCCATTGCCAATTCCATTGCTGATGTGGTGCTTCAGGGAATGGAATTATTTATTCCTAACTCTGTGGTGCCCGTCGGCGGGAAATCCCAGCCCTGGTATGGAGCCTCTTGTAGAACAGCATCTCGTCTGAAACAGGAGTGCTTCCTAACCTGGGCTAAAGGTGTGGCGTCGCGAGATCCTAACACCAGTGCTCTTAAAAAGAAGTATAACTCTGCCTCTAGGTCTTTCAAAAGAGTTATAGCCACAGCGAAGTCAGAGCATATTAGTAGAATTGGCAAGAGATTGGCTAGTTTGCCCTCTGGAACTCGAGCTTTCTGGTCTCTTGCCAAAGCTGCACAAGGGAATTTCTGTAAGTCATCTTTTCCACCATTGCGCAGGGAGGATGACTCGTTGGCCCAGAACGCTAAGGAAAAGGCCGATCTTCTTGGATCCATCTTTGCGTTAAACTCGACATTGGATGACGGGGAGAAATCACCACCGACCATCACGTGTTGTAGGAGCTCTATGCCTGACATTAAATTCACGCATAGCTCAGTGCGTAGAGCACTTTTCTCCCTCGAAATCCATAAGTCGAGTGGGCCCGATGGTATTCCTCCAATTGTGCTTAGGACGTGCGCTCCAGAGTTGGCTCCGGTTCTTACGCGTCTTTTTCGGCTTAGCTACTCATCGGGCATAGTCCCAAAGTTTTGGAAGACTGCTCTGGTGCATCCGATCCCTAAAAAGGGAGATCGCTCAGATCCAGCTAACTATAGGCCCATAGCTATCACTTCCTTATTCTCGAAGGTTATGGAATCCATCATTAACCGTCAACTGCTCCGGTACCTAGAAGAACACCAGCTGATCTGTGATCGCCAGTACGGCTTTCGACAGGGACGTTCGGCCGGTGATCTTTTAGCTTACTTAACACACCGATGGGCAGTGGCTATCGAGAGTAAGGGAGAGGCCTTAGCAGTTAGTCTGGATATCGCGAAGGCCTTTGATCGGGTGTGGCATAGAGCGCTGCTTTCAAAGCTACCTTCATTTGGGTTGCCTGCGAGACTGTGCATTTGGGTCGCCAGTTTTCTCAAGGAACGTAGCATTAAGGTCGTAGTCGACGGAGCATGCTCTGATTTAAAACTTTTGAATGCTGGTGTCCCGCAAGGCTGTGTACTATCTCCGACTCTGTTTCTTCTGCATATCAATGATATGTTACAGATAAGTAATATTCATTGCTATGCAGACGACAGTACAGGAGATACATTATATACCGGTCATGCAAGGATCTCGCGGGCACATACCGATGAGTGCCGGAATAGACTTGTGTCTGAAATCGAAACTTCACTCCATCAAGTTTCGATCTGGGGTGAACAAAATCTTGTCCAATTTAACCCCAAAAAGACACAAGTCTGCGCGTTTACCGCAAAAAAGACGCCGTTTGTCGTATCTCCTCACTTTCAGGGCACTTCCCTTGATAAAAAGTCGAGTCTAGGAATTCTGGGCGTTGATATATCTTGCGACGTCCAGTTTTGCGGTCATCTGGAGGAGAAGGCTAAGATAGCTTCCAAGAAGTTAGGAGTGCTCAATAGGGTGAGACGATATTTCATGCCAGAACACCGCCTGAAATTATATAAAGCCCAAGTCAGGCCGCATATGGAATACTGTTCTCACCTGTGGGCAGGAGCGCCACAGTACCAACTCCTTCCGTTAGACCGCATTCAAAGTCGGGCGGCTCGAATTATCGATAGTCAACGCCTTACTGTCCGACTTGATCCACTGAAGCTGCGCAGAGATGTTGCATCTCTGTGCATCTTCTACCGAATTTATCATGGGGAGTGTTCTGAGGAATTGTTCGGATTGATACCTGCTGCTGATTTTCACCACCGTACAACCCGCCACAAACTAAAGTTTCATCCCAATCATCTGGACGAGTGGCGGTCTTCCACCGTGCGTTTTTCAAGGCACTTTCTTCCACGCACAACCATTCTTTGGAATCAACTTCCAGCAGCAGTATTTCCGAACCGATACGACAACATAACCTTCAAGAAAAGAGTACATTCCTTTTTAAAAGGCCGGCAGCACACCTGCAATGCCGCTGGTGTTGTGGGTGATCATGGGCGGCGGTAGTCACTTACCATCAGGTGAGCCGCATGCTCGTTTGCCCCCTGTGTTGTAAAAAAAAAAAAAAAAAAAATTCCCAACTTCTATTCTTACTCTACTTTCTTCCAATGATCCTATTATCTATAAAATACTATCTTCATATATATATGATAACAATATTAAGATTTAGTTATATTACATGAATACATTTATAGTTGCATCAATTGCTTTTCCTATATATTTATAAGTATATTCTCATATGTACAAGTATATCCTTCATATCCTATAAATATCCTAGACCTAATCCTTATCCTTTCTAAATTCGTTTGTGTTAGGTATTTTTATTACTATTATCGTTTCCCCGTTTTGTTCTTGGCAAAATACCCTAATATCGGGGTGAACGCCACAAAAAAAGAAAAAAAAAAAAAAAAATGTCAAATGTTATACGGCCGTATAACCCTACCAAATACAACCTGCATACATACTTTTTACATAAACTGTGTCGAATATATAATCTAGTAATGTAATAGAACAAAAATTTTACATATTTTCTATACACTAGCATGCTATGAATTTAGAAAAATAGCAACTGACCGTATATCTTTCATCCTCTTTTTACTAAGTATATTTGCATAAGAAAAAAGGAGGTAACCATATGATTTACTGTTTTTATTTTATCATTCCTTCTTTAAGAACAAGGAATTATATAGAAGGAATGATAAAATAAAAACTGTAAATCATGTGGCTGTCTCCTTTTTTCTTATACAAATGTAATAAGAAAAAGCGGACAATCAGTTGCTATTTTTTTCACCTGTCCCCATTTCTACCGGTTTTCATTATTTATCATAGAATTATACAATATTTTAATTAAAACATTTTGTGCAGATCTACAGGAGAGATCTATAGTGTTTCAATAGAATCGAGTCTACTGTCTAGTATCGGGGTCTCTTATCAAAATCGACTTAGAGCTTATACTACAGACTTCCCAAGAGTGTGTAAATGGATTGCCAGCTTTTTGGCAAGCATAAAAACCGTTGTAAATGGTTGTTGCTCCGATATCATAGATATTAACGCTTGCGTCCCACAGGGCTCTGTCGTATCCCCAACGCTGTTTCTTCCCCTCGTTACATTGTGAAGGACAAACGTGAACAGCTTGTCTTAAATCGAGAGAAAGTTAGCTAGGGTCTCTGATTGGGGACAACAAAACTTAGTTCAGGTTAACCCCTCTAACACACAAGTTCACGTGTTCACCGATTAAAAAAATACATTTACTGTGGCTCCACAATTCTAAGGCACGTCCCTTAAGATCTCTAAAAGCAAGGGAAAGGGATTGTTAGTAATGGAGACTACCAGTCACATTGCTAGCAATATAAAAACTCGGTGTCCTTAATAAAACAAAGCAAAACTTCACGTCGGATCAACGATTATTGCTCTATAAATCGTAAATCCAGCTCCATATGGAGTATTGTTGTCACTTATAAGCTTGAATCCTTCGACTCAGTGCAACGACGAACTATACAAATTCTGGATAATCCCAAGCTTACAAGTGGAATTGAACCCTTGTCTTAGGAGGAATTTTGCCACACTTCGCGTGTTTTATCGCTTGTACAATGGACTGTGCTCAAGGGAATTGTTCAATATAATGTCCACGGTCACCTTCTACCATCGTACAGCTCGCCATCGTCAGGGGCATCACCCGATACTTTAGAACCTAGATGGTCGTGTGCAACGCGATTTCAAAGATGTTTCCTCCCACGAACGCTCGGGTTATGGAATGAGCTCCCTGTCGAAGATTTCCCAAGAGACTACAGCATGGGGTTCTTGAAAAGGGGGGTAAAGAGGTTTCTTTAGTCGGCACGCGTAATACCCCTGGCAGGCAGGCGTTCATAGGCTACGGTAACTGCTTACCATCAGGTCGGCCGTATACTTGTTTGCCTCCTCAGTGGTATAAAAAAACTCAATGAAAAAGTTACCAAGCTTTGTCGTAATTATCATTATAGTTATAATTAGTTATTAATTAAAATGTATATATGTTTGGTGCCCACTCCAGGATGTAATATGAGTGAAGCTGTTAACTATGCGCTAAAAGCAGATACACAGAGAGCTAACCGAGACATCCCAACCACTCATTAGAAAATAATTTTAAATCATCATTAACTGTCCTTTAACTGTCCCACTGCTAAAGATAAGCCTCCCACTTTGGTGGGTTTGCCAATAGTTGCCATGCATGGCAGGCGTATTGACAACCGCAGTTAGGCTTTAGAGATGTTTGAAAAGGAACGCTGCTGCTCATCCCTCGCCCTCTCTTAGTCTGCTTTTACGACACCGACGGAAAAGGAAGAGGTGGCTTATTCTATGCCGGGATCACAAGGCCAGTTTTAAATACGCCATTGGGAAAATACCAATAAAAACTATAATTTAATAGATATGAGCATATAAAACCAAAGTTTTAGCAGCTGTTTTATATACCATAATTTCGAAATATTTGCTAAAGAAAAACACAAAATTTAGCAAAATATATAAAGTAATATATTGTATAACTTTATGATACATGCATACAACAATTCATAATATGCAATATCATCACAATGATTAACATGTATTCATTATTATTATTAGGTATAAAAATTACAAAATATTTATTCATAAGTTCACAATATTTACTTAAAATAACCACCCATTATATAAAATATATAAAGAAGTTTTATATAAAAAAAAACGTAGTACTTAGTTAAGTAACAGTATAGACTAAGGGAAAATATAAAAGGAACATGGTACAAGTAAATGACTTAGGTACATATGTACCTGATAAAAATACTCAATTCAGGCACTTGACTATAAAAATAAATGATTACAATAACCCTCTCAGTGCTTAGCAATCAACTTATCTGATACGTAATTTAACTTCCGTGTAATAACTATGTCAACAAGTTCAAATAAACAAAGTTACAAACATGAAAAAATATATATCAGTACCAAGTGTAGTGAAAATGATTTGTCTAATATGAAATATTTTAATATTACATTAAAATTTTAGTGTTATTTTTTAATTCATTTTGGTGACTATCAGTTAAACACCTTTACATAATCGTCAAAACAGTGCTAAGACACTTGAGGTGATATGATTATCACTTATCTGGCTTATGTGTAATAAATATACTTTTACGTTATTATTATCTTTTATTTGATCCCTATTTCGACATAAACTTACATAGGTATCTAGAAAATAATCGCATGACCGGCATAATTAAATACATTTCTTCTAATGACACGTTTTAAAAGATTATAATCTCAAAAAATAAATATACAATGGCAATTAACAGTCAATGTGATCTATTATACAAGATCTAGGAGTTTATTAGCACTTACTAAGTACTTAATTAGTAAACTATTGGGCATCATGTTCAATAATGAATTATACATAATTATTATTTTTATTATTCCATTCTTCTACATACATAATTATGGAGGAAAGAAAGATTTTTCTCTTCATAACAATATCGATCAAGCATCAACATAACTGACGCATATCAAACAACTGCACAAATAGAATAGAAAGAAATATTTATATTATAGCTTACTTTCTACCTTCCTTATCTTTATATCAGAGATATAAAAAAAATATCATGGCGGGGCTGATTTTCTAAAGATAATAAGGAGCTGATAGTATTGTTTTATTAAAGTTTCAGTTTTCTATTCTTTCTTTCCTCCTTTACATTTTTTCTACTCCCACTGTATGGTCAGTTCTGTGAGGTCGCCTGCAGGATGACGCTCACTATTAAACTACTAATTTCATTTTCTACCTATTTTTCTATACAGCATTAATTATTACTAAGTACATTACACTTTATATTTATTTCTTTATGGAAATTTTTTATTAAAATATATACTTGTACTAAACATTTTGAAGGTAATGTATAAAACATTAATAACTACACCAGCAATCATCATGCATAAAAAAGTCGGAAACAATCCTAATTATTTCTATAGAAGTATACTTTGTTTACTTTGAAAGTTTGCGCTCGAGTTGGTCAGCAATAGCCAGAAGGAAGTCTTCAGTGTTTAAATACATGCCTTCCTTAGTGTTAGCCAGTCCATGGATGCATATCACCAGGTCTTTGGTCATCTTGCCGCTGTCGATACATTCTACGCAAGCCTGTTATATAACAAAATAAGTCCATAAACCATTCGTAGTCAAGTTTAATTATAATCGGCAAGTGTCTACATATCTGCGATACGATATCTCTGCGATATAATAATATAGGAACAAAACATTGTTGTCAATGACATATTAAATTGTTATTGTTTCTTAATGTAAACAAGTTGATTTAAAAGGATAAGAAATAATTATACTTTATTAGAATCTGTATCAAAATTTTTAGAATAAATATAATTATTCTAAATTGTTTTTGTAATTATAGGCAATATATTTGAAATATAATAATCGTAAATCATAACTAATTACATATAATTACAATTAACATCAACCTTAAAGATCTAGTTAATTATATAGTTGTCTTTCACATTAAGAATCTATTAGTGGATACATTTTTGTCACCGCACGTGTAAAATAAAACAAGATGTCGCATGTTACTGTCTCGTTCTACCCTGTGTACCATAGCGACAATGTTTCTATTGAAAAATTTATTTATAGCATGTCTAGTGGTTAGAATGTTAATAAGTCACTTTACTCAAAACAACAATTAATTGCAGTTCCCTCTCATCACAGTCAGTTTGTTTTCTACTTTTAGTAATATAATTATTCATTAGAGTAAACCATTTGACTTTATTGATATATTTGGTAGTTTATTGATATATTTCAACATGAAGCTACAAAAAATATTACATTGTGTGTAATATATTAATGTTTTGAATAAAAAACAAAACAATACATACCTCCTCAAGAGCGATTGCGAATCTTTCCAATTCGGGTGTGTTGTCTAACTTGGCGCGGTGGATAAGACCCCTTGTCCACGCATAGATGGACGCAACAGGGTTGGTGGACGTGGGCTTGCCTTGCTGATGCATACGATAGTGGCGAGTAACGGTACCATGGGCAGCCTCTGATTCCACAGTTTTACCGTCAGGGCACATCAGTACAGACGTCATCATACCCAGTGACCCATAGCCCTGAGGATAAATTAATATTTCTATTATATAATGTGGGTAAAATACCACCGTTCTGAGGAATCTAGCAGATGTTAAATATAGATAAGTAGATAAGTAAAATAATAAATTATCAAATAATTAATTTTATTACGTCTACATTAACTGGAAAAATCCTTTAATAAATAATACGAGATATCTTAATATAATCATCATTTCCAGATACAATAAATGCTAGCACATATAGCGGCCACTAATGCAGTTTTATCAGTTTTGATAACTGATAACTTGGAAAAGTAGCAAGCAGAGAAATGACAGTTATTCTATAGAATACTAAAACTGCTGTAAATAAGTTGATTATTCGAATTAATTTGTTTAATTTTACTGCTATTACTATGCACACTACTGCCAACATTACATACTAAAAATTGACCCAGATATCTATCTAATTTGGAATGTGAAAAAAAAATTTTACAATGGTATATCAGAGTATACTTTCATACCTGCGCTACAACGTCGGACTGGACATCCCCATCGTAGTTCTTGCAGGCCCATACGAATCCACCGGATCCTTTAATTGCCTGCGCCACCATGTCATCAATTAACCGATGCTCGTACCAAATCTTCGCATCTTCGAATTGCTTTTTGTAGTTACTGAAAAGAACTTATAAATGAATAAAGTTGTACTGCCGCACTGTCCGCAGTATATGGCCAAATATATTTACAAACATCATCTCAGCGGACAATGACGTCTATCAAACTTTAAAGGTAGAATATCTTTCACCCAATAAAAAGCCTATTTACACCGCTTCTGTGTAAAAGTTTCAAGAGTACATTATTTCGCTAGCGACACAATTGAAATGGCTAATTCTTCTATTATTTAAATGTTTGTGTTATTACCTAATTTCAGAATCAACAAATATTCAGTGTATATTTTCGTCAAGATATTTATCATCGTCAGCCGCTAACTATCTACTGTTGAATTTAGACCTAACCCATAGACTGCCATAAGGAATGGCCATCTGCATTCACTGACTCCTTGTAATACATTTTAGGTCGTCACTCCATCTAGTTTTAGGTTGTCCTACGCTGTACGGAGTCGCAATCTTTCTCCTTTTTCGCCCATTGGTTGTCGGCTCTTCGAGGTATGTGACCAGCGAAGTACCACTTCAGCTGATATGCATAATTATAATAAATATAAAAATGTTGATAAATTGTTTTTACCTTTGATAAATTTCTTCGAAAATGTCTTTGAATCTACCATCGTAACGCTTGAGAATTGTATTCTTTGTTGACAAATAAAGCGGTATTTTCTTTTGCAGTGCCACCTGAATAAACCAATAATATATTTATTTATTTTATACATATATGTGAAAACAATATCAACAATTGACTGTCAATATCTCCTAACTCACACGTACAAAATATTACCGGGGACACAGAAAACATCCTAATTCCGAATTTATATCTAATACGATAAAACTCAATTATTACGATTAAAATAAATTCTCGACAGGTATATTGGAGTAAATATATTTCTCTATATAACAGAAAAGGAGATCTAGAATTTAGTACTATTTTATTAATGTTAGTTAGGAGGTAAAATGTCCACGGTGGTTGAAAGTTGATATGTAGTTAGAACCGTACCTGAAAACTGGAGTGTGCGAAGGCGCGTATGGATTCATCGGTGTTGTACATGCCCTGGGCGATACCGGGCGATTTGAAATTGAACAATAAATATTTTTGTGTTGTGCCGTCTGTTGCTGTATAAACTAGTTCCACCTGATCGAAAGCATAAAAACAAATGAATTACTTTAAATATGAAGAATAACAAACTTTACAAAAGCTACGATTAATTCACTCTTTCTTTTTAGTTAGAGATTTCATAATACAAATATCTGATATAATTATTTAAGTAGTTATTAAAAATTTCTTATCGATTTCATATATCGCATTCAAATACTCTATGGGCGAAAAAAAACAGGACAATGGGTTTTAGAAAAATTATATATAATAAATATATAATTTTTAATTTTTTTTTTAATCTTTACCCTTAATTATATAATTTTCTTCTTTTTAAATAATGTCATTAAAATAAGTTACTAATTTCGTAAAATCATATGAATTTTAACAGGTAATTAGGACGTTGAGATTTAGGATTTCATAACATTACTGTAATATTTTTTAAAATAAGAAGACCAAAATATATATTATAATTTATCTTTTTAATACAAAATAATATTTTTTAAATCTTTAACAATTAAGAAATATTTTTTTAACTTACCTTTCCTGGTTTGGGTACTACGAAATCTTGTGCCTTGTACTGATCACCGTGAGCATGACGGCCGATAACTATAGACTTGGTCCAGCCAGGCACCACACGTGGAATGCTTTTACACAAGATGGGTTCCCGAAACACAGTCCCGCCAAGAATGTTACGGATTGTCCCGTTTGGACTTAACCACATCTTTTTCAGCTTGAATTCTAAAATATTATAACTAGTTGATATATTAACAAGTAAAAATCTATTAAATATATTATTATGCAGTTATTGTAATGTCATGAAACCTTGACACAAATATTATTGTTGAATGCAGGCACACGCCTTTATAATAAATAGTACTAGAATTTAAATACGATTGAATCGATTTGGATCAAATTTTGCAGAGTCAATCGAGTCTAAGGATCACATAGGTATTTAATGTCATCAAAAATTACAAATCAGGAATTTAATATGAAAATTGCGTTGTCACATTAAAGTTCTTATGATTTCACATAATATAATTCTATTATTATGTAATTCTAAGACTAGTAATAGATAATGTTGCATAGTTCTAGGACACCAATTAATCCAATGAAAGGCATTAATTGCTTCCACGGCCTATGATATAAAACTATTCTGTAAAATACGTAGGTTTGTATATTTATATCACTCCATTAGTTTTATTATGTTGATTTAGATCCATGATGCGAATTCATACTTGCGGATTATAATATTTATAAAGAATAAAAGATTTTTATTATCTAATCATAGTTTGTTTAAAATAGCTTATACTAGCACTTTTTATGCTTACTAAAAGAAAAGTTTATATTAAATTTTTCATAGCATTCTTGTAATTCGTGCAAAAAAGACTATTAGTAAGAATTAATGAAAAACGAAAACAACTAAACAATTATAGACATTAATACATGTAGATAAAAAATATAGTACAAATCGCAGAAATATAGAATAGTGCTGTTAAAACAACCAGCGGCGACTATTTTTTAAGGATCTTCCTATTCCCTCACTTCGAATATGCAACTGAAATCATATCTAATTACATAATTAAATAAGCTGTTGTTAAGAAGATATTTTAAAGTACAATTAGAAATAGAAAAATATTTTTTACTTTAAATATAGCTATTGAACATTCAACCAACAATCAGACATGCAAATTCTAGTGACCATCTGTGTTAGATATAAATAATAATGTTGACCTGTCTATATTAAAGTCCACGGGTACGAACTGCGGATCCATTCGTTACATGCCGTACGGCGTCATATTTATTGTGTCGTTGATATAGATTTCTGCAAATCGAAATCTGCCTAAATGGAATACTTTCTGCAATCTACGAAAGTCCTTAATCTAAAGATTATAGAGTATTGTAGTCCGGGAACTATTATATCAATCAATATCTGTGTCATTATTTGTAAATGAATCGCTCAACGAAACCTATTGTAATTTTTTTAAAAAAACCGACAGACTTTCTATATAGTTATGTGTTAGGTTTTAATATACATATATATAAAAAAAAATATTTTTAAAATAGTTTAACGTCATTGATGTGTGACGTAATGATTGATGATGCTTATTGAACCATTAAGCAGTTTAAATATTTTGGCATTAACATATTAATATCTTGAATTTAAATCTATTAATTTACAGTTAATTAATTTTAAAATGTCGGTAATAAAAATTAGGCATGTAGATACTATTTACTTGTAATCGCGTCGTGTTATGTCTCGATAGTGAATTTAAAAAAATTGTTAACATTTAGTAGAAAGGAAGAATACAAAGGTATACGATTAAATTAAAGAATTCTCGTATCTCTAGATAACTAATAATAATAAATCAAATACTGACCTTCCACCCTCTGTTCATCAGGTGTGATAGTAGCACACTTAATTCCCACATTATGTTTGAGAATTGCGTTAGCTGCGTCGACAGTCACCTGATCATCTGTCGCATCACGATGTGGTAGACCCAAGTCAAAATAGAGACTCTCCAACTAAAGAGGCCAAAAATATTATCTATTAAAAATAATATTTATTATCGGTACTAAAAAAATTTGTTCCTAAATCCATAAAGACACGACATAAAATATGTTTATAGATATATAACAAGGGTGGTAAACCAGTCGCAGTTATTATTCCGGACAATCTTGGCAAAGCAATAAACATATAAGTTTAATATATACCTAATAATAATATTTTTATGTGAAAAATACCTAGAATAGACTGTACAACATAATCACCAAATTGATAGCTCCTAATCGCACAGGGTTTTGTTAATATCTTTGGTCTAATTACGGTGGCCATCCCTGATATATGACAGGTTTCAATCAAGAATGTTGAAAGGGACTAGTTTCAAAATACCTGTATTCAGCAGAATAACGAGCTCAATATTAATAGCATAAACCGGTCAAGCAGAACCTGAATGCAAACAGGATTCACACGACTCCTCAACGAGTACATGTTATGCACCTATAAGTAGCATTTCTTCAATCCTTGAATTGAAGAATAAAATTAATTTAACATTGTATCTTTTAATGGACAAAAATATTAAAAACCTATCTATAACTGGCCAATTAATTAGAAGGTCCATTTTCGTATCTTGACATCGTCTAGTTACTAAATTATTATATTAGTAAGATAAGATTTGAATTACACTATAGTCGGTAGAATAATGAATTCCTTACAAAATTATTCAGTTTTTTTTTTTGTTTTTGAGATCAAGTTGCAAAGAATATTGTTTGAAATTCGACTCCACTGTATAACATTGTTCAGAGACTGAGCTGTAGCCTTTATATATATGTTATAATCTAAGGTCCATATGCAGTTTCTAGCGGAATGACTAATCAAACCTAGGATGAACCCTAGGTTGTCACAATATAAAATAACAAAATTATTGTCACAATATAAAATAACAAACATATTATAAATAGATACTTAGATACCCTTTATTGTTTCCTCCATAAGATTACAATAGCAAACTTATTATAAATACAAACAATTACTAGAAAATATTAGACTAAGGAAACAATGAGCGGCCTTATCGATAAAAGCTATCTCTTCCAGGCAACCTTTGGATAGAGAAGAGTAATTTAAACAGTTTGACTGGGGCACGAAACTCTGTTCGATTTTTTAAATACATACAGAGATATGCATACGTACAATAATGTGAATATATAAATATATACCTTTAGTTACCCATACATACCTAAATAAATCCATATATACATATAAATATACAAATATATGAATACATATACATAGAAATACATACATATATACAAATACACAAATATATAATAAATATATTATTGCATATTCTGATTATTTTTCAATCCATTCCTATAAAGTTAAAATAATAAATATTAAAATATGCTTTTATTATACCTAATCCAACAAACTAATACAATCCTGTACCTGTTTATTTAATTTAGGTCTGACTAGTCAAATCGCAATTTCAACAAATTGATTGTCGGCGTATGAATATCCAAATTAGTCTTTTAAAAAATTATACAAAAATTTGTTACTTAAAGGTAGAAAAACGCTACTGGTTTGTACTTCGACTAAAACTTTCTGTCAGTTAGACCTGAGGTTTATCTAACCAAACCTAGGAATATCGGAGTTTCCATGTTTAACTATACCATATATACAACATATACCTATATCCTTAATAATACATAATATTAACGTGTAAGTTTGTTTCTTACCTCTTGGCGCTTTAACGACTTATCTAATCAATCTTTATGAAATTTGATATACACGTATTATATGGGATGGAGGTAACAAGCTATTTTCTATTATAGTCAATAAACATATCCTAGTCACGCGGATAAAGCTACAGTTAAAAACGTGTAATTATTTATATACAATACAATCATTATTATCGCCACTGATTGTCAAATGAGAAAATGCAGTATGTGAAGCTGTACACTGCATATCTTTTTATTTAATTTTATTATTTTTTTAATTTTTATTTATTATATTTTTATTTTATTATTGTGGCTCTAAGCTATTTTTCCACCTAGACAAAATTCTGTGAAGGAAATTGAGTCTAGGCGGACCCGGGCAAAAAAAAGCGAAGATTAATAATAACAGATAGAAGAGGCTAGTCAAAATTCTCCCCAGGTTCACAATGTATGCGACAGGTATAAGAATTTCAACATCCTTAAAAATTTTGAGGGTCGAATTTTTAAGAACAGGCAAGACAATAGAGTTCAGGACAATGTCGAAACAATAGGTAAATCTATTTGAAAGCAACACAAATATAAAAACGGATGCATCGCACTCACATTTTTACAATAATCTGAAGCAAAAAATATCTTTTATCTTTTTGTATTCTTGTTCCATGGGTTTATTTTTTTTTTTCATACAAATAACAATTTTTGTTTCCATTATGCTACAACAATAACGGTCACTTGTGAATACGCTTCATATAATTACAACAGATTTTCAATTCATCTAACAATGACCTAATAAAACGGTGATAAGCAAGTTTATTTGTGACACTGTTTATTGGTGACGATAACCTGCACTGATAATTTGGTTTACTCAGCAATCATTTTATAATTACATTACGTATGTAATTTTTAGATAAATCAACAACTATATCTAAATATACTTGTATTACATATCAAATAGTAGTCATTGTAGCTCGAGTTTCGACATTTCGTTGATCCAGTCTACCATTCATATATTACAGAAATATATACATATTTATTATGTTATAGCCAATTTTTACTTAAGTATTAGATTAAATTAAAAAGACTTAATAATTTGTAAAGAAAAATTAACTATATGCTAAACTTCCTCTAGAACGTACATTATCTGTATAACAATATTCAATTGGCATGAAAATTACATCTGAAAATACATTGTGTTATTCCAGGATCGGGATCATATTTACCGAATATAGAATTTTATTGAAATCTGTTCAACTATTTTTTCGAGATAATGTAACAAACTGACAGACCAACAACAATTGTTAAACGATTGATTTAATTTTTTATTTACATAATTTTCCACAAACAATAAAACTTAAACAAACTTTAGGGTCACTTCTGTAAATTATAGGTTTCTCTTTTTTTTTTTGACTATTTCAAAGGATTTACAATTTATACAAATGTTTTCGCATTATAAATGTAGATTAAATTTGTTGCTGTTATATATTAAGTAGTTCTTTTCTATGATATGTAAGGTAACGTTTATGTTTTGTTTTGTTGTTTATGTGGTCAAAGTCAAAGTCAGGTCAAAGTGGTAACCGTAATCTGTACACATAAAAAGTACCATTAACATAAGAGAAGCTAATGTGTCAGCCATGATACTCATATTGTATTGTCATTCCTGTTTAATGTAAATCATATAAACCTGATTTTAGGAATCTAGGTAGATAAATGAAACAATATAGTAGCACTGAAAAAAAAAACTTCAGTAGTATGTATGAAGGTGTTCATCTAACTAAAAAAAATACAACATTGATATAAAATTTACTCAAGTAGATCAAACTACAAAAAAAAACTTTATCTATATTACAACACACATAACTACGAAGATATCGACGATTTTACTCGCGACCTTCACCTTCTTATTATTTCTAGGATTTTATTGCGTCAATATAATTATGTACATTAAAACAATATGCTTAGTAGATCCCTCTTGAATCTCTGAAGAATAGAGCAAATATTTTTTTCCCTTAAAAAAATATAGTCAATGCCCTTTAAAAGCAATAACTACCCATAAGAAACCAGTCTTTCTCATTTCAATATGGATTTCTCATAATCTAGTTTCTGGCTAGATTTTACTCTAACTGTAGTATAGAACTAAATTAACAAGTTGCTATATTTTATAGAAAACACCTACATTAGCAATGCCAGATTTATTCACAGAGTGTTTTGTAAGCATACACCTATCCAGCTACAGACCAGCTTGTTGCACATCAGTTTAGGGTACATTGCAGGCTTCAAACCATTAGGTACGCCCCTAATGCAAATTTTATTTTCTACATAAATACAATACAATACTAGGTTATACTACTATTTATTCATATAAATATAATTATAATTTAAAAGAAAGTCTATGTGGGAGGCCTATGTTCCACAATGGACATATAATGGCTGAAATGATTAATATTTTGCTTAAAATTTAGCACATTGCAGACTGGCATGGTTTTTTTCTCCTGAAGGGTTTTACATTTTGTCTATAATATATATCCCACATTATTAATCAACTAAAATACAGTATCAGAAGCCAGGCACAATAAAGACTTCAATTTTTAGACCAGAAATTTCCAGAACCCCTATCATAGTAGATGTTCATAATTAAAAACAAATCTATGTGCCTTTCACATTCAAAGAGTTAAGAGCAATATATAGCTATATGCAAATTTTATGTAGATAATTATGTATTAATTATTATGTATACTGCAAATTTTTGACAGATACACTTTTACTTACCTTAACATATGGGAAAATTAGCTTTTCTTTTATCTTCTCCCAAATTATACGGGTCATTTCATCTCCATCCATCTCCACAATGGGGTTAGCAGCCACAACCCTTTTAACAGTTCCATCTACAAACAAAAAGAAAATAAAAATAATATTGTAATTTACAAGTTTCATAAATCCTAATCCAAATGAACCATAATAAGTAAATTATATATTGGATGAAAAATATTGCCCTACTACTGCCCTCAACTATATCCGCATGGCCGGAATATGTTCACTGATCAAGATAGAATATACTGATTAAGTGATTAAGGTGCTAAGAAGTAACAATCAAACAAATAAATTCACTTACACATTTATAATATTAGTAAAGATTAAAATTGTAGTTACTATATTTCATTATTTTTTTATATTTTTCATAGAACCTGCTTTGGTTCTAGTGATGATAATTCAAGTTTCAAATAATATATTATATATATATTACATATAAATAGTACATAAAATAGATACTACCATTTTAACTACACATATCAAAATAATACTTAAGAGTAGGCAACTTAGTTTATGCATTTCAATTGTTATAAAATAGATTAAATGCACATCAGTATGAATTATTATTTCAAGTACTTTGTAATATACAATTTTAATAAAGACTATAATAATTATTTTTCACAAAGAAACTTTAATAGTGGCAATATTAGTATATTATACATGTATTAGTAAATCTCGATTAAAGGTTTTTGTTAATAGTTAATTAGGAATAATACTTTTAACTCTGGAATAATTAATTAAAATTTATAATTATTAGCGACAATATATAAGTACATACGAAATCATACTGACAAATTAAAGGCTCCTCAAAAAATGCAAAAACAACGTAGTTATTTTTTATAGATGATAAAGAATTGTAACCCCGCCTGCACTAATGGTACTCACTGGCGAGGCACCAATGAAAGATGATAGGTGAGAATGAAAATGCAAAGTCAGTTAGCCGATTGTGATTTCATTCACATGGAATTTAGCACGATAGTTTCCAGGGAGACCACATGAAACTCAACCCGACTGATTACATTGCTAGCAATGCGACTGATAATTTACATTATTAACAATCACTTTCCCCCTAAAATAATACAGTTGCATGCAAGTGCTGGATGCACTTTATACCAAGTTACCTAACAAATTAAAACAATATATATATATATATATTACTTACAATTTCTGGCTGGCTTAATTGTGTATTCGGTTACATATTTAAATAACTGTCTAGAACTTATTTTGGCCATTTTTTAATATAAATTTATTTAAAATTCGTAAGTTCCAACAAAAGCGGGTGGACAGACTTCTGTCAAGAACAAAGCTAGGCAGCAGAGTATATAGCAATACTTAAATTATGAGAACAAGGAATAACAACATGAGGGAATGAAAACAGTAAAACATATACTCGTCTCCTTTCTACTTATGCAAATGTAATTAGGAAAAAGAGGATGAAAGATATATTATTAGTTACTTTTTTCTCAATGTAGTAGGCTCGTCTATGCATCAAAGAAGGGATAGTCTCGATAAAAATAATTTATCGATATTTATATTTGTCTACAGTAATAATAAAATGGATAAAAAGCTTTAAGCATATTCATCAAAAATAAAATCACAGTTAGGTGAAACAAAATAATTATGATATGAGTACTTTTGAACTAAATGTAGGTGAACAGTAATTATTACAAATTATAAAACTTGGAATGCAAAGAAGAATAGTCGAAGAATAAGAACTAAAAAATAATATTAAACTAAACTAAAAACATTTTTTTATGGTTTCAATAAACAAATGTCAAAATGTTAATAGGAATGAATAAAATAAAAGGAGTAAAGTCGCCTTCTTCTTTAAATATTATCTTATCGTAAAGAGTACTAGACTAATCTATAAAGTACGGAAAATATTGTTTAATAGTCTGGATAAAGTGAATTTATCGAAATGTATCCTTGTAGAATAAAAACCTGATAAAAATATAAATACAAGCTCATATTAATACATGTTCTCTTTTTATTAGGTAATATGACTATCTATGATACGTTTATGTTTGCTAATCCTAATACTTAATATACTTCTTTTACGCCATATATTCAAAATCACACAGTTAGACAATTTATTGATTTAAACTTTAATATTTTTTTCTTTCTATTTATTATTTTTTACACAGTAACTTATATGTTAAATCTTTATATACAAATTCATTGTATTAGCTCTTTTATATTGGAAGAAACACAAGTTACCCTAATTTGAATTCAAGAGTAACAATGCAATCTTAAATTCTTAATAAAAATTCATTATTATCTCAAATATGTGATGTTATAAGATATATCTGAAGTTAAGTATATACTTAATACGACCTGTATATACGAAGCTTTGTTCACATTATGATGTTAGTATCAAACAATTCTAGTGTAGATACAGCCCGAAGTCCACTCTTCCTCTTCTTTTTTAATTATTTTTATAAGAAATACGATGTAATTGGATTACAACTTTCTTTATATTTTTTATTGACAATTTATCGATATTAATTTAATTATTATAGAACAAAAAATATTTTTCTACAAAATAATTAGATAAACTATAAAATTAGCCCTCTAATTTTAGAAATAATATAATCAATTAATTTCATCAGAGTGATTATATTTAAAAAAATATTATTAATATTTTTATCGATTTTAATGTTATCATACACATATCGATAAATTGACTTTATCGACACCAAAAATCAATACTTTCTTTGATGTTGCTACATAAGCGAGCCTAGTAATTGATAATATATCTATCGTCCTCTTTTTGCTAATTATACTTGCTTAAGTAGAAAGGAGGCAACAACATGTTTTTTTTTTTATTATTCCTGCTATGTTTTTTCTAACAACAAGGAATTACATAGAAGTAATAATAATGAAGGAAGGAGGCAACTCCTGTGTAATTCCGTATTCTTAAAGAAAAGCCTTGCTTATCTATGGAATAACAGCATTCGCGTGGCTGATTGGCTGGCAACAATTGACAAAATTGACGTTTCACAAAATAACTACCATGATAAGCAACCGGCATTGCCAGTTTCGGTACTTTATTCGTAATTTTGTGTAATATTTATTATGACTACAAAATTTTTAAAGAAATTAAATTCTTAAAAAAATTTTTACAGTAAAGTGAACCATGTTTAAAAAAATTTAAGTAATTTTTTTAACAGTTTTGGTATTTGATAGGTGTATAGACGTATACACTAATTCTTTTTACACTAATTTTATATTAATTCTATAAAATATAAGAATTAGAGCAGCTAAATCCTGGTTGAGATAAAAGAAGGAGCAGGTAAGATAAGGTAATAGTAGAAATGAAAGGTAGAGTTTTTGTATTTCCCTTCGCATATATGGTAAAACCTAATAAAAAAAACCATTAGTTTTGTGATTTACGTAAAAGTCTTGGAAAATGTATCAATTTGGAAAATTATTTTAAGTTTGAATAAAAATTAAAAATCGTTTCTGGCAACCCCCTATACACCGTAAACCATAAACATTTTTTTTTTTTCATTTATTGTGACTTTGGCGAAAGCCATCAGCCAAAAAGTAACAATTACAAGGTAACAATATAAAATTACAAGACAAATTACAAAAATTATTATAGTTATAAATTAATTATAATATACTAAGAAAGTAAGTTAAGTAGAAAAGTATAGGTTACTATTACATATTTAAATTTCACCAATTGTTGAAGTAATATAATTAAAAATTTCTTGATACAAAATGTTATGTTTTAGTAGATCCTGCACTGAAGTAGGAATATTTTGACATTTTAATAAATCTTGACATTGACAAATAAAAAGTAACCGTTGAAGTGAGAATTTAGAACAAACAAAAAAATATGATCCAAATCAGAAAAAATGTTTTGGCAGTATTTACAGATAGAATTATCCAATAAATTAATACGTTGCAAATGTGCAGGAAATTTACAATGACCTATCCGCAATCTACTTAATGTAGTATAATATTGTCTACCAAGAAAAACATTAGATTTTTCAAATCAATATTGTAACCAGACAATTTACAGATTTTGTTAGAATCAAACCAAGTTTCATTTAGTAAAATGATATCAAAATGTGATGTAAAGTTGTAAATAAAGTTTTTAAATTGAAATATTTTAGACAGAAAGCTTCTTAAGTTCCAATGAACAATATTAATTTCCTTTAAAGATGTAATGGTCATGTTGAAAAATTAGATATGAGTATTTCCTTAATTAATTTGGATGAAATTGTATCAGAATTAGTTTGAGCTTTCTTAACTAGCTCAATAACAGTCTTAGTAATTGTGTTGAGTACAATGTCTGAGTTAATGATGTCAGTAACTAATGCCCTTTTTTGAGGAGATTTATTTTGCGTTGAGCTGTTAATAGACACAGGGGTATTTGAATTAATTACAGAGTTAACCGATTTTGAAGTCACTGATGCATAAGATGTTTTGCCTAGAATTTTATCTTTGATTTGAGACAATTTCATCGATTTAGTGGGACAGCTATTAGATACTGCTACATGTTGTCCATTACAATTAACACATTTAGGATTCTCTTTGTTGAATCAGGATCTATAATCATGGGCACCGGCACATATGGAACAAACTTGCTTTCTTCTGCAGGAACTGCTTCCATGACCAAATTTGTAACAAGTGAAGCATTGGAGTAGAGGTCTAATGAATTCACGCACATCCAGCCAAATATGATCATACGTTACGTGATCAGGTCGCTGCGTAGAGAGGAAAGTTACTAAAACTGTAGGAAGAGGATGAAAACTTCCATCTTCTTTCTTTTTTTTGAAACGTTTAACACCGATGATATCTACAGTAGATTTTAAGTTATTTAAAAGATCTTCCTCAGATATTTCAGTAGGAGCTCTTATAACTCCCTGAGATTCCAGCTGATTATTGGGTATCCTAGCCTGAAGTTTATGTTTCTCTAATAAATCTTTAGACTGTTTCATTGATCGAAAACATATTTTGAATGCAGTAGGACCCATAGTACGAATATAGAATACACCAGGTACAGTCCTCAGAATAGAATTGACTTGCAATAAATTTACATTGTTGCCCTCAATAGGAGACAACAGGATAAAATATTCATTTTTAGTAGTGTCAGAATATAGGTAATTTTGATCTTTAAACAGTCCTCTTTTTGAGTGAGTAAATTTAATACTCATCTTAGCATCTGGCTCTTCATCAGATATGGAAGTATTTTTTTTAACTTGCCTCCGCTTGACTCGCACATATCCTCTAACAACACACGAGGGCTTAAATTGGAGAAATAAGTAAAAGAAACTAGGAGAAGCAACAAATAAATATTAAACAAATAAAATGAATTTAAAATTTCCGCCCTCGCATTACAAGTTTTCCCGCCTTTTTGTAAACCATAAACAAAAACTGCAGGAATTTGTTTCATTTGTTTTATTAAAAGATAGGAGTACTTAAGTAAATACCTACTCAAACAACTTCTGTTTTTGTTTGAATGTCTTTGCGGCGGGTTGTTTTACTTGTGGGCGAATACACCGCCCCGGTATAATTTATAGGTATTTATTTTTATGAATATTGTATCTTTGTGATCAAAATAAAATTTATGTTTTATTTTTGCTAATGTCTTTCTAATCTGTGATTATTTATTTGTGGGTGACGCTGGTAAAGCATACAAAGTACTCTTACGGTAATGTCGCCTAATTGACTAAACTAATTACTATTATCTAAGTTACGTTTCTGTCGAACTCGTTTTACACGTACGCGAAGTGAAAATTTTATTCATTTCATATCACTAATTTCACTGTGTCATAAATTGCAGTTATAATTTTATTGCCGGCAAGAGTGAGTGAAAGTCTGGCGAGGTCATCTATGGGATGTAATGCCAAAGATAACTTAGTATTTTTAGGATTAAATAAAAAAAATTCCTAAGTAAACTCAACACCTACAGGTAAGATTTGGTTTAAGTTTTATCTCCCAATATTAATTCTGATATTATCCTTAGTCCGCGTTCAAATATAATGGGTTAAAACTAAACTGTCTGACTCATTCCATTGAAATAGGTACATACTTAGCATTATTTTTATTTCGCTTTGTTAGCCTATTTTGATACATTTTTTTCTGTTTGTAATTTATTACAATATAGTACAGTACAATACAGTTAAATGCCATAAAATCGATTTCATTTTCATTCTGTACTCAAATATAGAGGGAGTTCTATTAATTCAAATTATTACTAATATCATATATATATATATATATATATATATATATATATATATATATATATATATATATATATATATATATATATATTTTCTATCTGCTTGCAATTTAATCAAGAATGTTTAGTCAATTTGATCTTATTGTAGAAAAAAAATATGAAACAATAATATTAATTAAATAATTAACATAAAAGCATATTTATTTTTATGCATTGTTTCATTTGAGTATAAAGACAACTACGAACATTGTTTATTAATGCTAAGTATTAAAGCAGATGATAGATAGATGTCTCTAAGTATATATGATGGAAGGAAGTCTAGGAAAACTCCTTCTTTAGATGACTTATTTGATGATTTTACTAACATTCTATATTGAAAATATCCTTTTCAGCAGACAATTTAATTGGTAATTTAGACACATTTTATAGTATCCTATAAAATTTTAAGCTCAAAGTAAATAACAAATGTTAAGTTACCTATATCTTTTAATGGAGTAATTGAACCTATTGTTGGAGTATTAAACCTGTGGGTCTCCTAAGACCCACAGGTATATACATCACAACACATGCTGTGATTTCTATACTGTTGTTTATGTGTATTGATAATTTTGTCTGTAGACTTTTTCTATCATGTGTACCATGATATTGTTAGCTATGCCCAATATTTTTAAAAACCCAGCAATACTCAAGCCTCTGAATTTTAATATTCTTATTATATTGATTTGTATGATCATTTACAAATAAACAGTATTGATCACACAAATTGTTATCATGTGAACCCATTTTATTTCATTAATTTTAGATTATCAGGTGTAGTCAACATGTGTGGGTGCTTGAGAGTACTGTGTACCTATAAACCAGCCCCGCATATATGGCAGTGCAGATTTTCTAGCTCTTCAGCACCTGCAACGCCAGGGGTACCCTACACAAAACTGACTATAGGTGTACCAAAAGAGATTTGGCAAGGTGAACGAAGGTAAATTCAATAAATAAAGAAGTTACCTCTACTTATTTCAACTTAATTCTTTTTTATGTATCTTTTCTTGTAATTGTATACTAGACCTACAGATCGTCTATAAATCTGTAATGATAAACTACATCCATAAATGCTTTATTTTCACACTTTGATCTTAGCCAAAATGCTGAGAGGTGACTTTTTTTATGGCCTAAGTGAGAGGCTTACCATGGAAAAGAGAGTCCAACTTAGATTGTGTTACATTATACTTTATTTTTATTATAAATATAATTAATTTTTATATTATATTTCAGAGTGGCGGTTGTACCAGCAGTAGTTAGCAAATTAGTCAAAAAGGGGTTTAATGTAAATGTGGAGGAAAATGCTGGAGCCTTTGCAAATTTTCCTAACAAAGCTTATGAAGAGGCTGGAGCCATAGTGACGAGTCTGAAGAATACATTCCAATCGGGTATAAACATTTTGTTTGATATTGATGACTAACTATATACAGCGGCTTCGCCTACTTAAAACAGTACATAAAGTACTTTATGTACTTAGTTAGGATATAACCTATCCATCCTGTAAATTTCATTGAGGAGTTTGTTTCTACGCAGTAAGTGTGACCTTGATTACAAGGGCACACTCATTCATTGGATGTGAAGTACTTGTAAATTTCATTTAAATCTTTTAATACTTTTTGTGTGAAACTAACAAATATTCATCCATCCATCTATGTATCTTTATAACAAACGTTGGCAATTGTAATATTAATAGAATATGAATATGTAATTCATAACATGTATGTCTAATTCATATTTAAACTTAATTGTAGATATCATACTAAAAGTCCGACCACTTGTTGACACTGAAATACAAAATGTGCAAGATGAAGGCACGCTAATATCATTCCTGTATCCTGCACAAAACCAAGATTTGATAAAGAAACTTGGTGTTAAAAAAGTAAACGCTTTTGGTAAGTTTTTCATAAATTCTATACTTGTAATATATAGATTTCAAGTCAATTGCTTCTAACAAATTTTGTGTATTTCAAATTATTTTAGCAATGGACTGCATTCCGCGTATCAGCAGAGCACAAGCATTCGACGCGCTAAGTTCCATGGCTAATGTAGCGGGCTATCGTGCCGTTATAGAGGCTGCTGCACAGTTCCCTCGTTTTTTCTCTGGTAATAATATAATAATAATTTTAATGTCAGACTTTTTGGTCCATTAATATTTATTAGTAACAATGTTCTTAAAGCTAATGTTAGTAAATTTATACATATACATAAACATTATTTATATAGTATACAAATAATCCCCGCTCAAATAATCATAGTTTTTAAATTCCTTTATCTTAAAAGTTTGCTGAAATATACTAGCATATGTCTTTTTCCTTTAATCTCGAATCTTTCGAAGGTATCGTAAAGCCATAATACCCTATGTACGTTCAGTATGGTGTGGTCACATTGTCTGGTATATAAACAAGATCAGATTTTGATACTCAAGCTGACTGTTTTACAACTTACTAATACACAACTACTTGACAAATTTGGTAAATACAACTAGGTACATGTTTAAAAAATTTTGCATACTTGTTTTGTTAACGAAATTATAAAGTTTAAATTAAGCAGACAAGATACAGACAAGACAAAAGTCATACAAATTATTACACAATTGGACGCCGATTCTGAGTACAATTTTCTAAACCTATCTCCAATTTATATTCATATCACTTCTAAATCGTTATTCTGAGTACCATAAATATGAATTCAATTTCTAATAAATTTAAGTAAAAAAAATATATATAATTTTAGTTTATTATAGTCCATAAAATAGCAAATACGCGAAACACGAAACGCAAAAAGCGTTAAAAGATAAGTTAAAAGAAATGACGCCTCAGAATCTACTCCAATATCGACTAATATAACTCTTTTATTCGTAAGATTTGTTTATTTTATATACATTTTCATAAAAATGTACATCAATATTGTTTAGTAAATATATTAAGTAAGAAAAGACAAAGCATATACTTATGTTACAAACATTTCAATTTGAGAAACAACATGATCTACATCTTAATCATAAAGTAAATATCCAAGATAAAACTACACATTAAGAAGATAAATTTATACCACAGAATTTGAAGCTGTTTCCATTATTTATTTATAATTAAAGTTTACCTTAAATATTAAAGGAACATTTCAACTACTTAATGCAATTATTAGCATCCTTTTAAAGGAGTATTCTCCGAAATTTGGGAATTTTGGTAAGCATTGCTTGTCCGTGACTCGAAGGATTACGCATATTATTAATATTTTTTATTATTTTTATTGCATTAAAATACCTATTACATTTCCATAAGAAAATACAGATAGACTTGGCGTATATAATGCTAGTAGAACACCTAGTTAATATTTAATAAACCTTGTTTAGTAATTTTGCACTATAGACTTTGTGCAAACACTTTTTGATATATGGACTTTGTGTTTGATTGGTCATTTTCATACCTTATGATAATAACCACTTAATCCCTTCCGAGATATCGATACATTGATATTACTAATGGTTTATCAAATTCAGGTTAATATGAAAGTGTGTGCCGATTGCAAATAGTAATACTACATATTGAAATCGATGTTCGTTAGCGGTATGTAAATCTAAGAATCTCCTCAAGTTATGAAACATACTAGTACAGAAATTTCGTAAATAAAAATGAAAAAAAAAGCAAGTTTCCTCTGCTAACTCAACGGTTGATTACACCGTGTTAATATGACAGGCCCAAAATTTTTTGACGACCTAACCCATATTTTTTGGGTAAAAACATCTAGTTCTAAGAGAACCCTCCCTTCAAATGATATGAACGACTTCGATTTCACTTGTTATAATTTTTTGATATCTAACGCTTTAAACACGATTTAACAAATAAATTATTATTATTAAATAAATTATTAGTACTCCATTTTGCAAGTGAAGCGAGATTCGCTTGGTCGTTTTTAGTTTGCTTTGTTACGACCAAGGTCGACCTTAACCTACCTGGCGTACCTGGGCAAATTTTTTGTCGATCTCCCCGACGACAGAAAAACGGCCAGTGAGATCCACTGTTCATTTACATTTTTATCAAAATCGTTTTTACATGAAACGTTAACATACAGATCGACGTACAGATGAAACTTAAAAAACCATTGTTTTTGGTTTAGTATCGCGTAATATTAATCGAACGATAACATACTCTTATTTGGTTTTGGTTTTAGTTCGCAAACCGTTATCTTATCGATATTAATGATCAAAGATTATTACTTAACTATGCCAGCACCTAAAAATTATTTATCACCATATCAGCCGTTATCTGTCCACTGCTGAATATAGACCTCCCCTATAGTCTGCCATAAGGAACGGTCCTGAGCCACCTGCATCCACCGATTTCCTGCAACGCATTTGAGGTCGTCAAACCATCTAGTCGTCGTGGTCGTCCTTCACTGCGTTCACCCGTACGGAGTCGCCACTCAGGAATCTTTCTTTCTAATAATGCCTAAAGGAGTACATTTATTACATTTATATATTAATTAATGACCGATGACTGTAACGTTAGTATATGTGAAATGAAATTACACAAATTAGGAATACTCATTCATTATTTTTTCCCGAGTCATAATATGATGTATATACAATGTATATACAGGTTGCTTACCTCTGAGTTTTTAAGGATAAATCATAAAAAGTGATTTCATAATAGTCATGACAATAAAATCAGGTCTATGTTGATAGTAGATGGAATTGTGCAGGCCAAATGACAGCGGCGGGGCGGGTGCCACCGTGCCGCGTGCTGGTGGTAGGCGGCGGAGTCGCGGGGCTGGCCGCTGCCGCTCAGGCACGATGCATGGGCGCCGCCGTCCGCGCCTTCGACACACGACCCGCCGTACGGGAACAGATTGAAAGTCTGGGTGCGCAGTTCATCACTATGGATATGAAGGTTTGAATGCTTGTATACTTTTATTCTACTTTCATACACAACATTTGTAGTCGAGGATAAATGATATTAACCGACCATTCTATAGATTATATTATATAATAGCGATCCGGCCTGACTTGCATTATTATATTGTCTATTTTACTCGCTGATAATGTACCTTTTTATAGGTGAAATTTTAAAATCAAGTGAGTAGTTTTTTTTTATTCAAGCATTACAAATGAACAAATCTTTCCTCTTTATAATATTAGTATAGATAACATTGACCTTAGGTTAATAAAATACTATATAATGTAACGCTTATAACAAGTAGAAATCCCGTGATAGTAAGTTAATATTTGTGATACAAAAAATAATTCCCATAATGAATTTTTTTTATAGTCTCATAGAAATTCATTCCAAAGTAATCGATTTAGAGTGAAAGTACTGGATTATAATCGTTTATATTTATAAACTAATAAGTCATATATATATGCACTTATAGTAATTTATTAGTGTATACAATGAAGGTGTATGTATGCGCAATTATAGGGTTTAATATTTGTAATGAATATGCATCAAATTAAATTTTTGTGATTAACTCGTCCCGCCTCTAGGATGTACTAATGATTTAAATAACTTATTAGATAAATGAAATTTAATCGTCTAGCTTGCATATCTAAAATTTCCTATACTTTTTTTTTTGTATCGCCGAGGTGGAAAACAAGCATAAGGTTCACCTGATTATAAGCGATTACTATAGCGTATGCACGCCTGCAATACTAAGAGCATAATGCGCGCGAGCCCGACTCTGAAGAAACCTCTTTACCCCTTCACTGTACTCTTGTAAAAATCTCGTCAAGAAACTCATTCCATGACATTTCTGTTACTTTTACATAATAAGAGCAGTATTATACCTATAACAATATTAGCATGAATTGTGATAAATATTTGTAATATATTAACTGTGAAATGTTCATTATAATTATTTTATTTTGAGACTATGTTGTATGTTTTCAATTAATATGATAAGTTATCTGTGTTGTATTTTGTTATATTTGATAAACATTACAATTGTAATACTTGTATCAGCTTATTATATAAGCGAAATAATATCCAAATTCCTAAAACACTTTCTACTCTGGAAAAATGAAATGTGAGCTATAGTAAATTTTTTTTCCATACAACATTTTAAGCCGTTGAAACGTTGAAAATATTTATTTTAGTACTGTATTTTAATTAATTGTACTTGTCATCTGATTTAAAGTTATTAATTTAAAATTATTACTAAACACAATGGTAAAGATTGTGATGGTTGTACAATTTTATGAATAGGCGGGTATTAATTCAGACAGGTAGATAAAAGACGTAAGTTCGAACGTACTCTCTATATGTTATGAATAAACTTAGCTCAGAGCTAGGTTTAGTATTAATATATAAATAAAAGCTATTTATTAATAACAAACTCCCTTTCCTTTTTTTACTGAACCTTTTCTAAGACTGTCTGTATTACTGTCTTGGTCAAACCTCTAAAATATTTTTTTTATATAAATTTCATGAACTCTCAATCTCAATTCTCAACTTCGAATTCTTTACTGGAGCCAAGGTTCTTTTTTTTTTACCTTTTTTTCCACCTGATGGTAAGTGACTACTGCCGCCCATGGTCACCCACAACACCTACGGCATTGCAGGTGTGTTGCCGGCCTTTTAAAATAATTTTTTTATTGATAATGTTGTCGTATCGGTTCGGAAATACTCTGCTGGAAGTTGATTCCAAAGAGTGGTTGTCAGAAAGTGCTTGAAAAACGCACGGTGGAGGACCGCCACTTGTCCAGATGGTTGGGATGAAATTTTAGTTTATGGCGGGTTGTACGATGGTGAAAATCTGCAGCAGGTATCAATCCGAACAATTCTTCTTATGACAGGTTCATAAGAGCCTAGACAAATAATTAACGAATCTATAGACACCTTTTTTTTTAACGTGTGCACGAGAAAGAATGACACCGAACATTATCGTCTCGTTTTTTGTCAAACATGCAATAGTACTAATATATCTATAGACTGCTTAGAGTATATCCATTTACGACGTCTATTTAATCCATGTCTGTAATTATTATTATATATAAAAATATGTATTATTACATAACGCTGTTCACCGTGAGTTTGCAGTTAACACGATGTAATACGGCCAATTAACTACATGTCACGTCTCTCAACGAACTATTTGTGCAATAAATCAACTGCATATATAGACTAGTCGTTATTGAAATGACATTGATGTTTGTTATGATAAAACAATTTGCTTTTCAGAGATGGATGTAGGTATTTACTCTAATTCTACTGTGATGGGATGCAGCAACCACTCTACCTTTGGCTGCTTTCGCCAATGGTAGATTGAGATATACAAATCTTATGAGAACATAATCACGTTATATGTGTGTGCTATAATTAGTGTCACATTTTTTGTTTAGATTATATTTGTTATGTAATGTAATTCGCCATTTAATCATCACGCTCCTTGATAAAACTACCAGCTATATGATTATTAGAATTGTTACGTTGTAGTCGTTGTTTTGATTTGTCAAGTTGTAAATACGCAAGTAACACAACTGAACAAATATAATATATTCAAAACATATATGTATATCTGTATACGCAATTTATGCATATTTATACTAAATATTAGAAGGCGTATGTAAAGTAGAAATCAATGTCTCAAATATTTGCGTGAATATTTGTTAGAATTATAACATTCAATTTTCACTTAGATTACCTTTGCTCTTAATGATGATAAGTCTATTCATCATTAATTTCAAGAATAAAGGCACCCTTTCATGTAAAGAAATACTTGATCAATAGGGAATCTTAGTTATAACTCATTTTTATAAGGTAAAAAAGAAAATAATATATAGTTACTAATATTAGAGATGCTAAACGATAGGTCCTAAGTAATTGCACCTTATTCTTAAATCATATTCTCCGATAACGTATACGTTATCAGAGATTATGATTTGCTATACGTTGCATTAAAAAACAAAACCTATCCCCTTATTCATAAAAACGTTAAAACCTATTTTAGCTATTTAACTCTTTTGTCTCTTTCTTTTGTGCCAAATTTCACATTTAAATGAAAGTGACAAAACAGTATAATAGAATAGGTTTGTAGAAGGTTTTCATTTTTATTAACAAGACGATTATATACGACGAATACATCCGAAAAGCATTGCCCTCATTTCTTTACTAGTAGAATAAAAAGAAAAAAATAATGTAGTTACGCATGTAATTTATGATCTAACGTTAAGTAGTACTCTGTATTATTAATTTTAGCATTTAGCATGACTAGATTAAAATACTTAGTATTTGAAATTGGATTTAACAATTTTTAAATATTCTTTTTGATAGGCTTGTTGCTTTTTTTTTAAGAAACTGATGGACATGTTTTAATTCAACGCAATAAAATTACATTAAAGTGTTGTCAGTTCTTAACACTAAAAAATAATCATGTGAAAAATTTGAATATGATGTTGACAACATACGATATGTTGTCAATTACATATTCTGATTTTTAGTTCTGATTCCGATACAGATGGAATGGAATACATACCAAATTCTATCTATATAAAGAGAAGTTTATTTTTTTTTGATGGGTGAAAATGGTATGGTAACGGGATACGCTGCCGGAGCATCAGTGAAGGATGATAGATGAGAATGAAAACAGGCCAGTTAGTCCATCATGATGAATTCATTAGGAATTAACCATGACAGTTTCCAGGGAGAACCGCGAGGAGGTCAACCTGGTTGAGTATATTGCTAGCAATGGGATTCTCAGTCTCCATTACTAACAATCCCTTTCCCCCCAAATATAAATATAAGTTTGATCTATAGGTTTGTTTAGATCTCTCCATCATCTGCGCAAGACCTGGCATATTTAGTATATGATATTAGCCTTTTTAAGGAAACTATAATAATACTTATAAAATTAATTGCTTTCTTTTTATTCGATTTGCTCAATTTCTGCGATGTTAGATTAATAACGGGATAATCATGACAGTTCACAATTTTGTGTGAATAACAGGATAGTAATAAAAAAAAACATTATGTCGCAGGAGGAAGGCGCTGGAGAAGGCGGGTATGCAAAGGAGATGAGCGAAGAGTTCTTGAATGCCGAGCGTGCGCTTCTCGGTAAGGAAGCGAGAACATCAGACGTTGTCATCAGTACAGCACTTATACCTGGGAAACCGGCACCGCTGCTCATTTTAGAAGTAATTACATTATACATATATACAGCATTTTGAACACTAATAATTGATAGTTAAAAAGAAAATTTGGAAGATGGTTTAAAAAATTATTTTCAGAGAAAGACAGAGAACCATGTATTGCATGGATGTTTAGTTGACAACTTTACCTTAAATCCTATATATAATTAAATATCAATACAATAAATAAAGTTTTACATATATATATATATATATATATATATATATATATATATATATATATATATATATATATATATATATATAAGGGCGAGGTCGCTATACACGGCGTTACACACATTGGACTCACCGACCTGCCGAGCCGTATGCCCGCTCACGCCTCCACTCTCTACGCCAATAATATATCTGGATTCCTGTTGAGTTTAGGTAAGTGATAGTTCTGTTGCTGTAACAGACCATACAGTATTCTCACTTGGTGATCCAGCTCAGTTGGTACTACTGTCTTACTTAAAACATTAGTTGTCATGTAACAGCATGGCGATTTTACTGTCGCCCATCTTTGTCTAATAACAACTAGAGTCAAATTTAAAGGATTCCATATATATGTATTAAATATACTTTTCTTGTTATATATATATATATATCAACATTCAAAAATATTGTAATATTTCACTTAATAATATTTTTATATTACATTTCTGAAATCGTAAGTATTCACTTACTTTTCTTAGAAATCTAAAACTATTTTTTTCTTTTTATGCAGCTCTCTAACAAATTAAAGGCCAATAATATATATGAACATTGTCATGTACATAACATATTATACGAGGTTGTCCGGAAAGTTCGTATAAAAGTGTTCTGGAATGCTGTAACAGGACCCCTTCCTTATGTCCCTAACAATGCTTCAGTTCTGGTCTGACCGCCGTGCGGTCCAGCTCAGTTGTCACCATCTGTGAAGTTACTTAACGAAACCCCGTCGGCATAACATTCCGTTGAAGAGCAGTCATGTAACAGGCAAGAATGGCGAAATTTTTGCCGATCTTTGATAAGACATCCGGGGAACCATAGTCAAAAAAATCAAGAAAATCCATAATGTCAAGACAATGTTGATTGTTTTTTTCGATGTTCGGGGGATTGTCCATCAACATTCAAGAATATTGATGGAAAATTCTACGTCGATGTGCTCAATATCAAAGCTCGTTATATTAAATTGGCGCGAGAGGGGCGTTGGATTCTTCACCACGACAATGCCCCTCACTCCTCTCTTGTTGTCCGTGAGTTTTTGAGTAAAAATTCCATAAAACACCCCCTATTTTTGTGACTTTTCTTGTTCCCAAAAACCAAATTGGTAATTTGCATAAATGAGATAAAAAAAGCTGACGGGGCAGCTGAGAAACCTACAACCAGAGGACTTTCAAGGAGACAGTGGAAACGTTGGCACAAGTGCATTATGTCACAGGGGGAGTACTTATGAAGAGGATAAAATTGATTTACCTGAATAATTGTAAAATAAAATTTTTAAAAAACTTTTATACGTACTTTCCGGACAAACCTCGTACTGTATCGCCCATGTGAAATAAATAAAAAACCAAAAGCTACTATTTATGCCATTTTCTTTGGCCAGTCTCGAAATAAATTACAATAATTGATGCATATTGAAAAACATTAGATTATAGTTATATCAAAAATGGATTTCATAACATTGATAATTTCCAAGAAGATAATTTTAGTCAAATACAATAAACTTATAATGTTTTTCAGCACACCTGTCTTTCAGTAGTATTGGCATGGACCAGGTTGAGGTGTTGTATTATCTGAAAGTTTTGTACACGACACAAACGTTGTTAATATTTGTGTATTTCCTACAACAGGCACTAACGACCATTTCCACATCAACCTTGAGGACGAGGTAACCCGCGGCGCCATAGTTCTCAAGGCCGGTGAACTCCTCTGGCCACCACCGCCTCCGCCCAGCATGGCGGCCACAACCACCGCAACTAAACCCACCGCTGCAGTTCAAATCGAACCACCGAATCCTTTTAATGAAACTCTGAAGGATGCCTTCTTGTATTCTACTGGTAAATGTTTGCATATAACAAAATTTTTAATCAATTGTAAAATGATAATTACCTAAAATATTTTTAAAGGTAAGTATTCAACAATAGCATTTGTTTAATAGTTCATCGTGTCAGTCGTTATATATGATATTCATAACTTAATATGTTATGATATTACAATACAAATTAATAATGTTCACAGTCAATACTTACTTTTAGAACAAAATTCTTAAGTACGTAAGTATACGTACGGCACCTCTTTAAAAGTGGTTATTTTTTTTTTATGTTTTATCACCAAGAGATATGTCAATAATTTCTATAACTAACAATACCTGATGAATTTGTTTAAAATATGTATTGTTTTTTTTTTTGCATCCAGGTATGGCTAGCTTGATTGGTTTGGGTATGGCATCACCTAATCCTGCATTCACCACTATGACAACCACTTTAGCTCTAGCAGGTAATTTTAAAATAATCTACATTGTGTTTTTAATTTGTTTATATTTTATTTTTAAGAAGTAGTATTTTACGAAGTATCAGATTTTATTCATTTGAATTTTAAAAGTAAGAGAACCAATGAAATAGATCATTTTTAGACTTATCAAGGTAAAACACACCAAATTTTTTGGTAATGAGTTAAACCTTCAGGAATTTAAATATGAAAAAATATGAAAACTTCATCCAATTTGGTGCAGTAGTTATTGTGTGATGCCAGAACAAGCGTACAGACAGGCAGACAAAATTTTTAAAATTATTGTTTTGACTTATATTGATCTTAATAAAACTCTTTATTTTAATTTTCTTAAGTATCTTACAATTTTAATGTATTAGTTATTAAGGAGTCTTAATTTGTAATTGACTTATATATTACACATAGTTTTTTGTTTTATTATTTTAAAGTCTAAACATGTAATCTTAATTGTAGTTCCAAATAAATAAAAGGCACTAAGTTCAGTTAAATTTAATACATTTATGAATATTTTACTATGGATATTAAAATTTTAGTTTCAGATTAATTTTTATTTACTATTTTTATCTCTTTATTCATACATTGTGGGTATTAATTTCGGTAATATCTAAAATACACCGTATTTTTTTAGGCGTGGTAGGATACCATACGGTTTGGGGTGTGGTGCCCGCGCTGCACTCGCCGTTGATGTCAGTTACCAACGCCGTGTCGGGCATCACGGCAGTCGGCGGCCTGCTCCTCATGGGCGGCGGGTACGTCCCGGAAACACCTGTCCAAGTACGTACCATAATACAATTTATTACTATAGACTGTTTCAATAGAAATTAATGTAAATATAAATAAATTAATAATTAACAATAAAGCAAGTACTGATGTCCAATAGTCATAAAAAAAAAAAACAAAATACGATTATATGATTGAATGTTTCTATTTATTACTTAATTTAATTTTCTTTAAATGAAAGTGAACTTTACGGAAGTTTTTTTTTTTTTTTTCATTATATAATGATGACCTTAACTGCGCAATTAGCGAAACACCAATGAGAGATGATAGGTGAACATGAAATTGTATCAAATTTAAGCAAGTGCTTCTCAACAGTCCATTGATATGCAACTGGAAGACAAATGGCTTTCAAACATGTTCTTGTATTGAAGATATTGTCCCTGGATTCACGTTTTCCATACTAAATATTGATTAAACCATGTTATCAACTGATAAGTTTGAGTTGGATATTGACAGGCAGAATGACCAGTTATGGGGTTGAAAATTAACTTTAGAGTTAATTCCACATTGAATTATCGCTATTTTAATACTAATCGAAATTTTAATTTTTTTTATTTGGTAGTATTAAACAAATATATCCCAAACCTCCTGTATACTACTGAATTTTTTTTTCAGTGGTTAGCAAGTACCGCAGCACTAATCTCATTTGTGAACGTATTTGGCGGTTTCCTAGTGACGCAGCGGATGCTTGATATGTTCAAAAGGTAAATACATAAATACAAATTTAACTTAAAAATCCAATATATTTTTCTTTACGTTACCGCAGTTAATATAGAATTAAAAATATTTTTTTTTCTTTATAATAAAAATATATATTTATGATATAGACCTGGAGACCCACCGGAATATGGCTATTTATATGCCATACCAGCAGCTGCACTTCTAGGTGGATATATAACTACAGCAATGCAGGTAAATTGTAACTAATATCTTGTTATTTACTGGTTCTTAATTTTAATATGATTTGTCATTTACTATAAACTACATTTTTTTGTCAGGGTTATCCCGAAGTTCATCAGATAGCATATTTAGCTTCATCACTGTGCTGCGTAGGCGCACTAGCAGGTCTAAGTTCCCAAACCACTGCGCGTAAAGGAAATTACCTAGGAATGGTAAATATTCAAATGATTTATGTTATACTTTAAATATCAATTTGATTATGTATCTTGCAACTGATGATTAGAAAAGGCATTCATAAATCAATTAATCAGTGAACGTAGCTAAAGACTCGGCCCAAGACCCGCTCATTGTAATCTTGATGGCTATAGTTTCAATCTATTGACCATTGTAAAGGCATTGAGACAGCAATGACTAAACAAACAAAATTTCTACATCGATATCTTTTCTATTAAAAATTAATCTAAAGAAATAAAGTTAAGTAAAGAATTTTTTGATTTAAAAAAATCATAAATAATATTTTATTTTTAGATGTAGTAGTTTTGTTTAAGTCTGCAATATATTTTCTTTTTAAATACGACTTCATTTTTTAAGATTAAAATGTAGTCAAACTTTTTTGTACATGCACTTTTAACGTGGCAACTTGGGACCTAGCTCGTCACATATATATTGATGATTCTTTAGTAATATGAGGTTGCAAAATTGTTGAAACTTAACATTAAAAAATAGTATATATTTCTATATAAATGAGAATGAAAAATAAACTTTGTACAGATTGGAGTTGGCGGTGGCATAGCTGCTACACTGGGAATATTAACGCCCACTGCTGAAGTATTTGCTCAGATGATGGGTGTGGCAGGAATTGGTGGTGTACTTGGTGCTACTATTGCCAAGAAGATTGAGATTACTGATTTGCCGCAACTTGTAGCTGGTTTTCACAGGTAAGTGTCGATTGAAAATACAAACAATAAACCTTGCCTGAATAGTTTGAAATGAGTTAATTCCATTTATCAATAGTAGGCGCATCATCATTAACATATATGTTACAAACTTTAAACTTATATAATATTTAGTAAATATATTTTTACTTTTTCTTATTGAACGAAATATGTCAATAATGAAAGATAAATCTGAAATTTTAAACTTACATTTCTTACCTAGATTGATATACGTTCACTGATACTTCGTCTAGGATTAATTAACATTTCTTTTTTATTTTATTTAAGATTTTATAATTCATGCATTTTAGCTTAGTCGGCATGGCCGCCGTACTGACGTGCATTGCAACATATATGCACGATTTTCCAGCGATGGCGATGGATCCCACCGCTAATACGCTCAAGACCTCTCTCTTCCTTGGTACTTATATTGGAGGCATCACATTTACGTAAGTATATATATATATTTTTAATATATAATCACTTTTGGGTAATAATATTAATAGGCTACATCTGTAAAGGATTATAAGGGCGCAGGATGTGTAAAGCTTGATGGGATAGATTTAGGATAGAATGATATTAAGTTGTTATTGTTGTATTAGCTGGTAACTGTCCACTACTGAGTATAGCCTCTCCTATATGGGGTTTTGCCTGTAGTTTCCACGCTTGGCGTGTTGGCAACCGCACTTTGGCTTTTGGTTATGTTTTAAGAGGGACGCTGCTGCCCATCTCTCCACCATAAGGTTCCTTATTCGCCTCTTACGACTATGACGACTTTTCCCACGGAAAAGGAAGAGGTGACCTATAAAATAATAATAAATACATATCGGTCAATTATTTTTACACGTTATTCTCTAATATCTATCATTACAAGAAGATTAAGACCCAACGCATTAGCTTGCGATAGTTCGCCGATAAATTCGAAACAAAAAATCGTCAATATCAATGACTTAATTTAATAGTAAGAAATATACACAGCGGATCATTGGTGGCATATGGGAAGCTGCAAGGGACACTGTCATCTGCACCGCTAATGCTGCCAGGCCGTCATGCCATCAACGCGGGCCTACTGGCGGGGTCATTGGGTTGTGGGGGTGCGTTGTTGGCTTTCCCTGATGCGCCAGGACTACCATTACTGTCAGCAGCTGCCGTTCTCAGTGGCATACAGGGGCTCACGCTTACTGCTGCTATCGGAGGTATGAAAAATGGCGGGATTTATTCGGTGATCATTTTTAGTTGTTTATGAACTTTGATGGCTATAGATGTTGAGAGTGCGTACAAATTTTTAATATTACTAAAATCTAGTCCGATGCATATCTAAGGAGGCCCAGGCCAAAGTATTTTTCATTGTATTAATATTCAAAGATAGTTGAATCTGATCACTGGGAAAAATATTGATTCTTCGCGGGTCTTAGAATATCTCAATAATTTCTGCAATATATATCTAATTAATAAAAAAAAAAAAAAAATACAAACCATTCAGAGTCACATTTTTTAACAATGAACCCATTTATTCTAATCTTTTTACATCATAAACTAAAACCATATGTTGTATATTATTATTTTCTTACCTTGTCTATATATGTATTTACTATTGTGGGACACTATGACTCTCATTTAAAGTAATTGTTATGTATTTGTTCAAGGTGCGGACATGCCAGTAGTTATAACTGTACTTAACAGCTACTCTGGTTGGGCGCTGTGCGCTGAGGGCTTTATGTTAAACAACTCTCTGATGACCATCGTTGGGGCACTTATCGGCAGCTCTGGTGCTATTCTTTCATATATTATGTGCAAGGTACTTTCAATAATTTTAACCCTAAATATTGCATTAGATCATATAACTTATATCCTTATGAACATATAGTTGTTTGTGTGGGTATATATATGTGTATGTGTATGTATGTATGTGTGTATATATACGATTAAATATAATTAGTTATGTATTAACTTAAGTTTGTCTTCTTGTTTGAAAATTGTCGCAATATTGTACACTACTCTACTCACTGGCATTGATGTTCCTTTCCACTTTGGATTTGCTGGAAGAGAACTCTATTAGAGTTAAGCTCGCCTTTGTACATATTCTTGTCTCTAACATATTTGTTATATGTTATTTATTAGGCTCAAACCCTAAATAAGAATCAATAACTACTTATTACTACTATTTACTACACGAGCACACACTACAAATATTAGAAAACTGACAGACGTTCATTTTATGTACGATGCACATGATATTGGGGTATATATATTTTAATGCTACTGGATGTGTAAATGATATGCCATTTTCTTCCAGGCCATGAACAGATCTTTACCCAACGTAATCCTAGGCGGGTACGGCGTGACCACCGGTGGGTCCGCGAAGCCGGCCAATGCTACACATACAGAACTCAATGTTGATTCCGTCGCCGATCTCATCTACCGCGCTTCCAATATCATCATTACACCTGGTAACTAACCTCATTATTATTTTATATGTATATGTGCTCCATTTTATTGTTAAAATTGTAAGTATCATATATTTTTAGGTGCGTATTATAAAATGTCAACATTTGTTATTTATACTTATGTACAATTTAAAAAGAATCTGTAATTCAGGAGTAAAGGCTATTTTTATTTATTTATTTATTATTATGAAATACAACTACCTCCAAATAAAAGTTTTTCTTCCTTCTTTCAAATCTAATGAAAACATATTAAAATACAATTTGTTTGTATATATTTTTGGAGATTTTTAAATCCCCATTACTTTATAATACAATGAGTACTTTTCTTTTTGTCCAGGATATGGTTTGTGCGTGGCGAAAGCTCAGTACCCAATAGCTGAACTAGTAGACCTTCTTAAAGGAATTGGCAAGAAAGTACGCTTTGCGATCCATCCCGTTGCTGGTGAGTATTTTACTTGATATGTTATGTTAACACGAAAGAAATTTTTTTTTAAGTAAATAATAAAATATTACTTCTAACATTGTAATCGTTTTATTAACTAGTTTTACATATTCATAGGTCGTATGCCTGGTCAACTAAATGTGTTGCTTGCCGAAGCTGGCGTTCCATATGACGATGTGTTCGAGATGGAAGAAATAAATGATGATTTCCCAGAGAGTGATCTTGTATTAGTTATTGGTAAGTATTAATCATAAATCATTTACTTATCATTTTGTTTGACATTTGTCTCGAATATAAACTAATATATCTATGTGGTCTGCAGGCGCTAATGATACAGTGAACAGTGCTGCAGAGGATGATCCCAACTCACCTATTGCTGGAATGCCTGTACTTAAAGTGTGGAAAGCAAATCAGGTACATTAATGTTGTTATTTTATAACTAGCTGACTCGACAATTGGAATTCTTACAAACACTATTGGTTGCTATGTTTGACGGCAATATCTTGTTAAGATGTTCAAATTGACAACTAGAATCAGTTTCTATGAGTAAAGAAAAATGATTTTTTTCCAATATTTCTCTACATAAATATATCCTAGGATTTTAAATCAAATAAAAATCAGCGGTATTATTCCAGCCATTCTCGAGTTTTACATATAGCAACTTGTTTAGGAGTTTATTTTTGTAGATAGATATAATAACAATGTAACATAAAATTACCCAGGTATACAAATTACTTATTTTTTCACTTTAGGTTGTGGTGATGAAGCGTTCTATGGGTGTTGGTTATGCGGCCGTTGACAACCCTATTTTCTACAACCCGAACACGGCTATGTTACTAGGCGACGCTAAAAAGACGTGCGATGCTCTACTTGAACGCGTTAAGCATCTAGCTGCATAATTAATACTAATTACAATTCAATGAAAATGTGCAAAATATGGAAATGGCACATGACATGGTCCATTGGAAACGCTGTTCCAATCAGTTACCATAAGTCTAGTTTTTAAGATTACATACATGCTATGAGATTATCCGTTATTTACGCTAGATCCATGTTTAATAACCTATTTACAAGTCATTGGACTATTAATCACACTGAGGTATTTAACCCTTTTAATGCTTATTATAATGATTTCTTATGTATCGTTTTCATTTGATAGCCTATTTATAAAATCCTACATTTTGTGTAGTGAGTGTATTTAGACATACAATATAAGCCATAAGTTTGTAATAAATTGAATATCAGTGCAGTAACAATTCTTAAATTAACAAAAAAAAAATATTCATTTTTTTTCCAAAGAATAGTGAGGATTGTTCTCATATTAACTTGATTCTAAGTATCTAGTCATTATCATTATAATGAAAATATTGTTTTCCTATAACAATTATGTTATTAAAAATTTTGGATAACTCACTCAGGGCTTACAATTTATACTTATGACACAATATAATATCAGACACCTAGCAGAAAAAGGGTTAAATTGTATAAATTAAATGTGGATAGACCTAGAGAAAATTTATGTAACTAGCAAAATATAAGTCTGAATAGATAACATAATGCACTTGACTGACTACCTATATTACCACTTTCTTGTTTGATACTAAAACAAAACATTTAACAAATGTGGTATTTGAGTCTACTACTGTGCAATTTATTATTATTTTTTATTAAGATCTCTATAAAAACCAATCACGTCTGCACATTAGACATTATCTTGATTCTACATCGGCTTTATCTTGAGTACTTAAAGAATAATCTTATGTTTCGTGTTCGTACACAATGATTGTCATGACATAATAATCACTTCTATAGTCAAAATGGAAATGGACAGAGAGTATGTTGTGAGCATGTATACTGAATTAATGTATAAGTAATAAGATATTTTCTTGTCATGAGACAATGTCTTCTAATGTGCAGTCGGCCTTAGCGTATACTTTTTGATTCAGTCAGATTACCGAGCAAAATTGAAGAGTTCGATTTATAATTTGCATTCGTGGCTCTGTCGTCAAATATATTTAATTGCTTATTACCCCTTATTTTATTTATTTAGTGTATTAGAGTCAGAGCTGCTATATATAATGTGTCAGAGTCACCGTTTATGCCGTCATTCGTACATTCAACAACAATCCGAATCTTATTTAAAATCTTACTGGACCGAAAAGTGTGCCAATTCTTAACGTGCCTACATTACTGAAGAAGTGCTATGAATAAGACTTTTGACAGCTAGTCTGTTTAGTATAGTTAAAACTAATTTTTAAAAATATTTACAGTTTATATTTTATATGAATTTATTCATTTTCATTATTATTTCGATGAAATTATTTTTGTACTTATATATGTACCTTATTTTAAGTATAAAAATATTTTATATAATACACAATTGATGTGTGTAGCCTTAATCGTGAGATTTATATTAGTTTCATTTCCCTTGACATTCCATTTAATGTGTGTTACCATTTTATTATTTTATAAAATACAATGTGTTCATCCTACTAATCCAAATTTGTTAATAATTGCCAAATTTTGCCAATATATAATAGTATTTTGTATTTATAAAAAAAATTACTACATTTATGTATAACCACATCATGACTGCCTATTTATGATACTTTGCAATAATAGAGAATTATTGAATGGAAATCATTAATTTGTTTTACATAATGCAAAACATTGATATACGTAATAATGTAAACTTTGCTTTAAATTTATCAGGGTATATTAATTTTAAAATTTTATAATTATATCCGCTATCAGTATTTTTTTGTCATAATAACGATTTATCATGCAGTACTAAAGAAAAAAAAAATATTAAGCATTTTAGTAAGCATTTTTATCAATAACAACTAAGTTTTCCAATAGGTAAAATAATATCACAATGTATTAATTTTGTAATTAAATGTAAAATTTCTTTGAACGCTTTTATTTTTCAAACGTTTTAATACCTACCGAACGTGAGTGAAAGCTAACATTAATGTATTACATTATAATAATTATTTTGTTATAATTCAAAATCATTACAAATCAGCTTTACTTAAGTAATTATCTTAACGATTCCTTGACTAATACTACGTCTCGTGCCTTGCGAGCAGCACTACTATGAAACCAAAATCCAATAAGTTACTTGCCGATGTGCTTTAACCCTTTGAGTGCTGACGAGCGCCATCGCGCTCGTGCGCATTGCAACTAAAAGTGCCAAGGGCCTCATAGCGCTCGTGAAATCAGTCGCTGTTTAGTTTGCTGTAAAAAAAATATTAAAATTAGATAATTTTTGGAGGAGATACAGTTTTTTTAGAGACAAGGGTCAATGACATCAACACGACAAAAATTTCTTTGGCATTTTTAAGTAGATATGAGTAAAAATCAATGGCACTAAAAGGGTTAAAATAAGATTGCTCTCTTTTAACTGAGGTAGACAATGTAATGACGATCCTCTGACAACTGTAAAATTATCGTAAGTTCATACTATTCACTCCAACGTCGAACTTTAATTGATCTATTATTATAATTTTTAATCCTATGGTGTCTCTCTTATACTTTTTGGTCTATCCGATAATAACTTTTTGATGTCGCCTGGCAACTAGACGCTTTCTAAGATCTTAATGTGGATAATATATTAAATGTTATGAAAGATAATTTTAACGTATTATTAAAAAGTCACGCATATATTGTACAAATTAAAACTGCAAACAAGCAGACTTGCTATATTAGATAGAACTATAAAACTAGATATTATATGTGGTAAAAATGGAATAGTAAACTCCGCCTGTTCTATCATCCCCGACTGGTTTTCTGCTAATTTTATAAATTGGCAGAATACCAGTCGGGGATGATAGGTAAAAAAATTCTTTTAATGAATGAAACAGGAATGGTAACCGCTGTCGGTGTACGTTGGCGGGGCACCAGTGATAGATGATAGGTGAGGAGGATGAGGATAAAGGCAAGTCTGGGACCGCATGGAGGTCAATCTGATAGGGTTAATTGCTAGTAATGAAACTATTAAACCCCATTACTGATAATCTCTTTCCCTCCGTGAAAATGCGGTGAGGTCAATTAGTTGACTGTAATGAATCCACTAAGTGTTATCCATTATAATTTCCAGGGCAGGAACCATCCGAGTCCTATTAGTGGGCAAAAAAAATGGGGAAATAGATAACAAGGAGACGGGGAGTACGTCTCTATAACAACAAATTCTTCGCAAACGATTGCTAATTGAAAAAAAAATGCTATTTATATTCTCTATTGCACTTGTAAGTTACATATAATATATTTATAAATGTTGTGAGCAAGGGTGGACTTATCACTGACAAAGATCTCTCACAGTCAACTCAATACAGTTAAAAAGTATGTGGTTAGCGGGCAGATGAAGTGCTACAACTATTAATATTTAGAATTACTTTAGAAACAAATTAATTTAGAAGCAATTATGCTATTACGTAGCATCATTGCTTCCTAATTGCTAGACGATTTAAATACGCTCTCCAACAAATAGCAATATTTGCAATTTTTTTACCAAAAAAAGTTATCCAAAATATTAACTATAGTTCCTAAATTGCTCAGTAGAGGAAGTACTGACTTATTATACTATTGCTTTTAGATAAAGTAAAAACAAAATAAGTATCAACAAATATCATTCATTTTTCAGCAATCGGAATTATTTGCTGTTATGAAGACTCATTCCACCGATCTTCTTAGTCTTACTAGCTTTAATAAATCGCCTATAATTACTTTTCTAAGTTTCTGTATTTTTTCTGTCTATGAAGGCCTATCTATTCCAAAATCTTGACTTTAGGTGCGTATGGCCTATAGTAGAATACTTCTTAATTCAACCAATAATTGTGTGTCATTTAACTGACATAACCATATGACTTTGACTTATATGACATTTATATTTTAATAACCACTTTATTACCTACTTGGTTTTTTTTTCCAATGTTTATCAGATTTTGATTTCGCATCTTCTTGCTATTTTAACATGAGTTTATTTTTTTTTTATAATCATTATATTCTTATTTAAATATCTGGACTTGATTAGGTACATTGACTCAAGTTGTTTTATAATCGCTATACTGAAATCTCTTTATTCCAGCATACACAGTTTGTTATTGCTATGAGCTATGACTTCATCGCTGCACGCTACGAATTTATACATATCAGACGTTTGAATTGAACTGGTTAGTTGTATGTGGTTATGTACTTATGTAGTTTTGTTAATTGTTGGTTCAGGTTCACCTACTACACTTGAGCACCCTCCAACAGCATGGTATGTTTCGTTTATATAAAATTATAATCGTTAAACTTTAATTGACAAATATAAATTCTTAGATAACGTAAATCTATAAATAAAAGTGATTTAAGTGTATTACCACGTATTTTGTCTTGACCTCTTTATATTTGAGCTCATTTGTGGGGTAGACAGTGAAAAGTTATCAATTTCTGTTTTTGTATTTATAAAAAATAATTAAAACTAAATACGCTTAAAACATTGAATAAATCCATGTGATTAATATTTAAATTTTTCTTTATTTTTAAGTGTTTATTATTTAAAACTAATAATAATTTTAATAGATGTTACCTTGTTAAAATAAAACCAATATGACTGTTGTAGGCAAGTAATACGATGGTGGCACCGAGTAAGGTGGCACTGCCACCAGCCACTAGTGATGAAAGTGCTACTATATTCTCCATGATATACAGGTTCTTCAAAAAGGTAATATTTTAATATTGTTATAATATTCTTATATTTTATTAACACATTCTCCACCAACAAGTTTTTTTTATAAAAAATCTTTGTTTTTAAGTTATATTTAATAAATTATGTAGAGATATGATTATTTCATTTACTTTGATGCATTTTGTGAAAAATTATGAGGATTTTTATGTGTCAATCACATGTGACTGACAAAGTGCCAACGGATAAAAAATACAAGTTGCGTAGCCCCATTGGAGTATTCCAGTGTCAGTCACCCGTGACTGACAAGGTGACCAATGTGTTTATATATATATATATATAATAAGTTTAGTACTGTAATCTTTTAGAGAAAACAAGAATTTCTATCTATCTATGTTCATAATTAATATACTATAACTAATAATTATCAAAAAAATATAATAAGAAGTCATGCCCTATAAACAGAAATACTTTATAGAATAATATAGGTCTATGAAATGACATTACACTGTTACTCTTTAAGTTGCATTCCAAAAAAATTTGGTAAATGTGTTGAATTTGAAAAAGCAAGATTTTCTTGAAGTTTAATACCTTCTCAATTGTAACAGTTAACAATTCTTCTTAACTTGGGAAGATGCTGGTTACATTTTATGTGTAACTAGCTTACTAATGTTATCCCTTTGTGAACCCATCATATGAATATTAATAAAATTTTATATCTCATGAGTTTAATTGAAAAATCTATGGACTTCATTATTTATTTTCACACCCTAATTTAAAAAATTAGGCTACAATATTTTTAACTAAATTTAAATATTTATTACTGGTTGAAACAGATTTTTACATTGTTTACTAATTTGAATTTAGCAACTGTACCATTTAAACATCCATATATTTTTAATGCATTTTGTTTCCTTATACAAAAGTGACAGCACCTTCATATGAATCATCATGACCATGAAACAGGTATTGGCGTTAACTCATTAGATTTGACCTTCATGTGTTTGCTATTAAACATTTCATTTGTCTCAAAAAAATTTGATACAAAATAAATTAAAATCATTTCCAATATTAATGATTTTTATATTTAACTACTACATAAAAAATAGATGTATATTTGTTACTCACTCTGTTTTATACTATTGAAATTGTGTTTGTTACAAGCTTCTAGTTGTGTCTATCTATTAAATTGTTATTTTCCAAATGAATGATTCAGTGTAATTATTTCATTTCCTGATTTACAATAAGAATATATTTTTTTCATTATGTTGTCAGAAATTCTACTTTTGTGTTTTTATAATTTTAAATAGTAATTATATATTTAGATATATTTGTTGGAAATACTGAACCAATTTTATAAATTCTTCCACTAATAGAAAGTGACAATATCCCCACTCTTAGTAATATAAACAATATTTTTCACTTTATAAAAATTAGAAGACAAGTTTGTGTAAGGAAACATTTCATATTTCAAATAATTTCAATAATTAAATTTGTGTGGGGGTACTGGAACCACATCAATGTGATAACAATAATAGAATTAGTAAAAATTTAATTAATATTGACTAAATAGTTTAGGTTTTATGTAAATGTTCCCTTATCTGTTAAGTAGTACACAGCAACAGTCATATAATGTGGGTTGTATTGCATGCTAATGGAAAAGTATAATTACGGTGACATCATACAGACTAAACATATTCCTCATGTGGGACAGGAAATGTTAATGTTCACTTTGTTACTAGTGTTTAATAATCAAGACTTGTAATATTTGTACACAATAGTTTATATTTTTTATTTATGAATTTGCACATATTCATACTATGTGATTTCAACTTAGCTAGTATAATAGCTTGCTGTACATTACCATGGTTATAATATATTCTCAATGAAAATAGTTGGCGATTATATCATTACTAGCTACAGCTAGTATTGTAGTGAGGTACACCCTACTACAATACTATGGTCTATCTATGTATTAATTATATATGCGGATTCTTCGATCTGCTGAATCAATTATAATTAGTTTTGTTATAGGGATAGATGTGATCCTGGAAACAGCTATAGGCTATCTTTTCTTGCGAAAAAAATAGGGGTGGGTGAGGGAAGGGCAATATTTTTTTAAAAATTGTTTCGTCGTCTGATTTGCTTCAGACTGTATAATTATTGTACAGAAATAAAATAGACTTTAATTTATAAACAAAAGTCTACGTATTTCTGTACGTATTCATAATTAAAATCTAGTAATTTTCTATTTTTAAACTACTCCTTAAAGGGAGTAGGTATAGCAACAACCAGAATTATTGAACAAAATCAATTTTAATGCGAGCAATGTCGCGGATAACAGCTAGTAATTATATAAATAAATATAAAAACTTATATAAATCAGTGTAATGAAATAGTTTTAAATTTATAATTTTCAATAAAGATGTTAATTTCCGCAGGTATCAATAGTGGGAGCTGTTTATTTAGTGGGTTACATGCAATGGAGTGTAGCGTGGCTTATCGGGCCCGTTATACTGTCGGTGGTACGCGACCAGTGGCGCAGGGAAAGCGAGTATCGGCGCAACCTGGCGAAAGCCGCCGCACTCTCCTCTGAGAAAGATGTGGTCTTGGCAAGACTTGATGATTTACCGGCTTGGGTAAGAGGGTCTTATTTTCTTAGCGCAACTACATTGTTCTTCATAAGCATACATGTCTTATTTTTTTTAATAATTTAACCATTAAGAAAAATGGGACAGCCCATGATAACAAGCTAAACAAATACCCAGAGCAGCAAAATTGCTATGTACATTATGTAATATTTTAAAAAGATAAACAAAAAAATGAATCAGCTTGTTATGTTTTTACATACCAGTGCATAATTAGCTATACTGAATTCGTCAGTTCCTTTATCAACAGCCACCTAAAATGAGTCACATTTACTTCGCTCGTTGATTCACAGTTACTTTAATTATTTGAATATACCTATTGCTATTTATATACTTACAAACTACATAGTATACACACCAGAGGCGAATATAGGGGCATATTCGCCTTTGGTTAATCAAGAGACTACTAGAAAATATACATTACATTCTGAAACCTATAACGTAATTCGCTTACTTTCATAATTATTATAAACTTGTATCTTTTACCAGGTTTTCTTCCCTGATATTGAGCGCGCCGAATGGTTGAACAGAGTGAGTTATCATGGACACAGTTAAAAATAATTTACTATAAAATCACAAAATATTTTCTTAAATCCAAATATTCTTCCAGATACTTCTGCAAGTTTGGCCTAATGTGAATCATTACGCTCGAACTCTATTGAAAGAATCTATTGAACCCGCGGTGGCTGAGAGCCTCTCGAACTTCAAATTAAATGGATTCAAATTTGAGCGCATGATTCTAGGGACCATCGTAAGTATTTTACATATTCATACATATATGTATATGCATATATAAGTCAGAAGGTATTGACCTCAGAATAATCACTAGAGCCCTTTACTCTGTAATCTGGATACTCTTTATCGTATACACACACTCATTTATTATTTAAGTACCAATATAATAAGTCGAGAAAAACTAAATTTTATTTGTGTAATTAATGCATATTTAGTACCGTTTAAGTAATAAATAATTATATGTTTGTTTACAAATGTGTCATAATATTTCAATAGATAAGTATTCAACGGACGTGCTGATAAAAATATATACTGTTGATGATTTAACCAAAAGCGTATGAAATTTATTATTGGTTATTAATAAAAAAATATCTTTTTTAAAAGTAAATTTGAAACAAAAAAAGGTGTAAGGAAAATCACATGACGTTTAGATCCTAGTTAACAGGTTACCAAACACACCTTGATATGAGATAATTAGCGGTTAAATTATCGTTTCGTAATTGATTCATAATTAGTAATATGATGAGGCTAGATTTAGTAAGACTGAATTCATCATTCATTGCATTCTTTATCAAATTCACATATGGAGCATACTTTTTTATCTACTTTCAACGCCAATTCTATAGAATTGGCGTTGAAAGTAGTAGTAGTAGTTGAAATTCTATGGAATGTTCTCTCGCTTCCTCAAATTTTCGACTAAGAACATTTCACGAGCGTTCTAAGAATATTTTTTGAATATTTTTTTTACGTTACGATCGCAATTTTAATAAAGTATTTTTTTCTTCTTTATTTATTATAAATAGCAAAATAATTTTCACGAATATATCGAACGTTTTTTTTTCTTTTTGATATAAACTCTTCCTCCCATCTATAAATGAACATCTACTCTGCTATTATAGCCAATCGATTATAATAGCCGTTTAGATGTAATAGCCTATGCGTAATTTTTTTCTATGACAAACCGTCATAGTAAAAATTTACGCATACCACATTGTTATACATAGGTATTCGTATGAAGAATTATTACACGATTTATCCTATATATTTAAATATTTGATAGTAAATTTAATACTGTATAGATCAGTAAGATAACGGATCAAGTATTTTAATTTTAACAGTAGGTAGGTAATCTTTGAAACAGTTACTCATGTTATCATTATCTAGAACCTCATCTGCATTAATATTTTTTGATTATGCAAATTTTATATAGAGATAATTATTGACTCACAGACACGTCATCGCTGAGCTAAATATATAGATACTATATATTAATTGTAACGGTTACGTACGTGTACCCATATAGAAAACTACCAATAAGATATAGGATTTCTGAAAATTCAGACTGCTTAAAAGTTTTTATGGAAAAGTGTTAATTTTCAATTTATTAACTTATTCGTCTTAATTTTTTTTTTTATGATACAATGCCAAACTAGCTAACGATCCACTTGATGGGCAGTGGTAACTGTCGCCTATAAACATGAACAGTACTATGTACGTTACAGAATATACTTAAATATACTGTTACACATACTGGCACTGGCCCTTTTATAAAATAATTTAAATATTTTTTTTTTTTTACGGACCATGTTGACGAACTACCGACCTACAATTGCTAAACTTTATAACAATGACAACTGATTAATAGAGAAAAGAAAATTTACTCGGTACTTCCTATGCAGAGTGAAATGAAATTCGTTAACATCCTTTGAAGGGAGTGTTCTATAAATAAAACGGATTAATTTGTCCCAGAGGAGACTGTACAAAAGTCGTTTGCCTAGGCACCTCTGTCCCATTCGTGTTTCTACCGTGAAGCAGTTGTGTTTGCATGGCTATGTTTCGGTTTGAAGGGTGGGATATGGCAGTGAATTTACAGGGTACAAAGGAATAACACATTAGTCCTCAGGAATGGCAACGAATGGGATGTATCATGGGCGAAACAGTATACTCTGTACTTCATGGTACTGCTCATGTCTGTAGCCGACGATTACCACTTTCTAATCAGGTGGGCTCTCAGCTTGTTTTCCATTCTAAGTAGCATAAAAAATTAGTTTCCTGTACTAACTGGACCTATGGATGAATCGTATCCTTATGGGTATATTTTTTCGGTAAACATTTTAAGTTTCAATTGTAGTTAAAAGTATGCTTATTACGTCAATTACACCTTTCGACTGATCCACAAACTACGATAACCTGTGTTATGAGGAATCAGACAAAGAATATCTAGGGACTCAACCCAATACACCCAGACCTGAGCCGAAAATAAAAAGTTCGTTTCTTATATTGGCCCAACCGAAAATAAACCCAAGATCTCATTGAGGAAAGTGGTATGCTTACCGCTGTTCTACAGTTATAAAAGCATTATTATTAAAAGTAATCTAACATAGCACATGTTGAAACTATTTAATTAAAATTTTCAATACAATATCCATTAATTTTTTACATTTACGTTGTATCCTTACACATTAGAGCGATACATTTTTTCCTATCAAATGTAATAATGCCAAATATGCTGTGTAGCGTAGAAACAACGAGCATTATCGTTTTGATAGCGCTATAAAGTAATATTCTTATGGGAACGGTAATAAGCAAAGTAATGTTTACAGGCGCCTCGTGTCGGCGGCGTCAAAGTCTACGATAAGAATCTCTCGAGGAATGAAATCATTATGGATGTTGATCTGTTGTAAGTATTAACATTATCCCTGCAGTCGTGATCGTCGTATCTTATGGGAAATTGGGCTTTGAATCAATAAAACAAGCTCTCCAATATTATTTTATATTGATCTTTTCTACTGTGCTACTAGGAAGTCAAAGCAAGTCTGCTCTCTAGCGCATAGAAGTATCGCTCGAAAAGGAGTGGGGCGGTGACGTAGAAAAGTGAAAGTTAAATACATGAATCATTCAATATCAGGCTTTAGTCAAATGAGAGATTAATTTTTGCACATTAATTTAAATAATATCAACATATCTAAATGAAACAAATAACTAGATGACGAATTTTTGTGGAGATCACGCATTATTGGTTCGCAATGATTAACTCATAACTAGCGTTCCGTCCTGGCGTCGCTCGTGTAGGTAGATAGACATAATTTATATGGTACTACGTAACAATAGTTTCCGTTCATGGCAGGTGGTCTTGGCAAATATCTTTAGATGTAATCCTTTAGGACTTATGAGTGACAATTTACAAATTACTTAATGAAGGAAGTGATTTATTATTGTGATTGTATTCTATTATTATATTCTAGTATTCTTGATAAGAATAATTAAGTTTGTATTATTTAAGTACTAGCTTTTACCCCTGACTTCATCCGCGTGACCAGGTTATGTTTACTGACCGATATAAAAAGTATCTTTATAATGATATGGAGAAACTTGAATTAGTTAAGGCGCTATAAGCTAACAAACAAACTGACTTTCACATTTATAATATTTGTAAGGGTAGTAATTTATTTTTGTTTATTCCAATTTTGTTTTTATATACAATTTGAAATGACGAATAACCAAATAGCCCACTTTATGGAAAGAGCTAACCGTTGTCTAATACTCACGACCCGTATTATGTGTATTAGAAAATACACCCTAACGCTCATAGTGTCGCTTAAGCATTCAGTACCATTCCTGAGAACTAAAATGTTACTGCTGCTCTATTACTATATCACACTCTAAGAAGAGGGATATCCTTATAAAAGGCTGAGTTTAGTATGCTATTACTCCGTTAGCCAATCAAGCCACTTGACTAGATAAAAATGAGAATTTATTGCTTGTTTCAACCGATTTCAAAAAAGAAGGACATTCTCAATTCGATTGAATTTTTTATGTATATCTCAAAGCTCCGTCATTTATAAACTGATTTGGAGAATTCTTTTTCTTTATCTGAAAATTCTTTTAGATAAAAATAAAATGAAAAAAAAAAACATTTCAGATTGGTTTTATCAAAATTAGTTCAGTAGTGTTAGTTTTCAAATAAAAATAACTGATTTAGACACGATTGAAGTCGGTGACAAATTATTTAAATTAGAAGGTAATATAAATATATACTGATTAGTTTCCATCTAGATTAAGATAGAGAATATCAGTGAATAGTGTAGGTGTCTAATATTAGAAAATTTATACTATTATATCCACAGACAAATTTTAGATGGCACAAGTGACTCAATTTATATAAAAACCGGCTATGTTACATAAGATACCTGTTTATAGTAAATGCCTACTCTTTAAAGATTCCTGTAGTTCCATTTTTGTCAATTTTTAAAACAATTTTTATATGTCTGCCTTATATAGAGATTCCGACTAATATCTTTTTTTTTATATTGATAACATGTGATTATGTCATAATAACAGCGTAATATGTTGGTTTTATAATGCAGTTTTTTTATTTAAATTTATAATAATATCATAAATAATAATGACCGTGAGTCATCATACTGTATTGTAATAATTTTTATCTATTTTATCCCTTTAATGTGTAAATGAAGTCGATATATAAAATTACAATATAATATTAGGTAAAAATTAATAATATAATCTAAATTATATATACAATATTAATATATTAACAATAATAAATAACATTTTCAGCTATGCCGGTGACTGCGATATATCATTTGTGTTGCAACACATTCGAGGAGGCATCAAAGATTTACAGGTAGATACTATCTCTAACACAAAATATAGAAACTCATACAGTTATTAATTTAAAAATTGCGTTGCAATATTTCATTTAATGATTAATGAAATTATTTCAGATCCATGGTATGGTGCGTGTAATAATGAAGCCCCTAATCACAAAGATGCCATTAGTGGGAGGCCTCCAAATATTTTTCTCAACAACCCTTCTATTGACTTCAATCTGGTCGGCGCCGCCGATGTCCTTGATATGCCTGGCTTCAGGTAAATTTGTTTATGTACTTAAAAAAATACTTTATATAGTAATTTCTATAAAAAAAATACTGTAAATAAAAATAATTTAATCTTTGGAAGCATTTTCAAAAAGAAGTAGGTTCTCAATTCAGTTGTATTTTTTTCTTTGTCTCATAACTCCGTCAGTTCTAAACCGGTCAAGAAAATTATTTTTTTATCTGAAAGGATATACTTACAGATTGGTCTCATAGATATTTTATCAAAATCGGTTCAGTCACTGATGATGAACATAAAATATTATAGACACTAAATTCGTACATAGAAAACACCTATTTTGAAACCATATAAACAGACAAACTCATAAGTAAATAAAATTTTATTAATTGGAATATAATAGCGCAGTATCTTACCAGTAATAACAATTATATTTTAGCGACATCTTACGACGATGTATTGTAGAACAAGTTGCCAGAATGATGGTGTTGCCCAACAAATTACCCATCAAATTAAGCGACGAAATACCCACCGTCGACTTGCGCATGCCCGAACCGGAGGTATATATCATATATAATAAGCCTTTATTACTGAAAGTATTACATTTTACAAACATTTAACACTACAATTCTAATCGACTTTTTCAGCTTGTCCTTTGACATAGGCCTCCTCAAGATCCTTCCACTTTTCTCTATCTTTCGTTAATCTATACCACAACTTTCCCGCTGTTCTTTTTATGTCATCCTCCCATTATATAAAGATAGGAGATAAAGATAAAAATATAATTTGGTTAATATAATAGAAAGTATCATTAATTAAATATGTTTTAGGGCGTACTACGTATTCACCTGGTCCAAGCTCAGAATCTCATGAAGAAAGATGTGTCTATGCTTGGTGAGATATAATAATATTAATAACACTTGCTATGAATTATTATTACTAATTAGCTTCGTTTTAACATCATAGTAATTAGTAAACAAATATTAAATTGTTTTTCCTTTTAAAATGAGCAGGTAAGGGTAAATCAGACCCATATGCAATCATAACTGTCGGTGCGCAGCAATGGAAGACGAAACATATCGATAACAACGTCAACCCTCGCTGGGACTTCTGGTGCGAGGTGAGAATACAAAAAGGCCCTAATATTTTTCTTTATTCTTCTTATTCTTTTATATTAATGGGCACTGATTTTTACTTTTATATTTTACCTTTATATTACTATAACCTGATAACTTCGTGAGCAGTTCTCCTGTCAATGTGACCGCTGTTTGTCTGTCCTTACATTTAACAGAAGAGGCCACATCCCATTACATATGGGATAGCAAACATACATACCGTCTTCTCTTTTCCGATATTCAATTCACAATGTTCGAATGTCTTGCTCACTAAGTTAACAGGCTATTGTACTGTTGTATGTAGATTTTAACAAAAATGGTTGCTTACTGAGCACTTTTTAATATTTACACTTACTTTTTCTTTAATCTATTTGAAGGGTATGTTCTAATCTGGTTATGGATATTCTACGAGTATTGAGACGGGTAATATATTGCTCGATTTATCACTAGCTCATTTCTGAAGATGTAAGAGTAGGTATAATTTTAGTATACAATCTTACCATGCCATACACTTAATAAAAATCTCTGAGACGAGAAATACAAGTACCATATATAATCATAATTTGGGATTTGTGTTGCCTAATAGTCTATTCTATGGGAATATTATCAATGTAATATTATAGAATAATCTAAACATCGTTTGGCTTATCGATAGCATTGATATGTAGATTTATGTAATTTCATCGATTATAATCGATCATCAATAAAATACTTATAAGCGATTATAATCGATTGCAATATATTTTTTTCAATTCAATATGTATATTGGACAATAATTTTCATTGATACTTTTGCATTTATTATTTTATATATGCATTTACACGTACTCGCTATCGATTATATCGATTAATCGGTAGAATCAATCAATTTGATCGATTATGACTACTATTATCGACAACACTATTGATTCTTAGAATATTTATAGTTCCAGTATTATTGCAATTGATAGTGAATTCCAATGATTATTAGACAACACTATATGGAATTGAATGAATGCACCTTTAACATAGTTTGAAATGTTAATATAAAATTAATTATTTCATATAATTAAATTATTCATAAACAATAATGCATTCTACGAATATATCCAAGTGGAACGTACCTAATTAATCCCAGTAAGAAAATGTTCTACAGACAAATACTTGTAGTCATTTTGTTGTTAGTGTTTCAAACTATAAAATATTATTGGTCAGGAATGAGCATGGTCACTAGATATATTTTTTATATCCATTCATCCATGACATCAGCATTGCTGAATTGAAAATTTGCGATATATAATTTGCATATTTTTAGCTCGGGTTTTATTTAGATTGTGCTAATAAATCATGAGCTGTCTTAATAGCTTAAAATAATAGAAGATGACATTTTGAGTTATATTTTACATTATTTTAAACCATTACTTTTGTTTCTCGACTTACTTCTAATAACTTTTCCTAATTAAAATTTTTTGACCGATTCAGTTTCGTAAATAACACTTCTTTCCTTTGGCTTCTATTAACTATACCGCTTAGTGTGCCTACTGTCGTTAAACGACTGACAATAAAATTAGTGTTCGTCAATATGATTTTGTTTTCCTTACTTATGTTTGCGTCGGCCTATGCGCGATCGGCTTAAAGGCGCGCATTATACAATCGCTGGGTCAAGCGTTGGAAATTGAGGTGTTCGACAAGGATGAGGGGAACAACGACGACCATCTCGGCAGGTGAGTGAGTGAGCAGGCACCTCGACCCGGTGGGAGGTAAATGACGGTGGCTGGTAACGCTTCATGCATGCTGATCGTGCTTGTTTATATGGCTCGCTGTATTCAAGTCACTTTGCATATATTTTTCCCATAAAAATTTCAGCAATGGTAAATTGAACATTTGCTATATGGATACATATCTGCTTAGTCCTCAAGAATGGTGACGCATGTGAGGTACGTTGGGCGTCGCAGTGATTTTTTATTGTCCATAGGCGCTGGTCACTGTTAATGCGACGATTATCATATTTTCATGTCGCATATAAAGTACATGCATTCAAATATTTAAAATAAAATCTTAAATGTAAAGTCATCGAATAACTTATATTTTTAAAAAAACCTCTTGCATGGATGGAAAATTGTGCATCTTGTAGATATTAGAGCAATTATGATAAATTTATATACAACGTGTACTTGAATACCGACGTAAGTATAGTATGTTTTCGTAGATATTAGTTATGATGAATAAATGTTAGGGTTATTTTATTTGTTGATTCAATTTGCACATTATTCATTTTCTTACTATCAAAAAAATACCTTTAAATAAAATAAACCCTAGCATTTTATCTACGTTATTATTAATGCTTTTATCTCATCATATCATGTAGTTATTAGATATTGAAGTAACATCAAGTAGTGGTGACGGTAAATTATTTCATATACACTTTATATGAAAATGTTTTTCCGTGTATTTACATGTACTTATTTGCATATACAGGTTTACATCTTTCCAGAACGAAATACACAACCATAATTGTGAGAACACGACAACATTGATGTAAAATGCTACTAATACGTAATTTAAAAATATGTAATTTTTTTGATGTATTGAAATTAAAGTTTTTCATACAAACCCATGAATGTTGTTGTAGTTTACATTCAGGGGCTATCAGTGTTATGTCCCATTTTGCTATAAGAATCCTCGTGTGGCCAAACTAATATATGGATGTTGTGGTTTGTCCCAAGGCAATAATAAGCTCAAGGAAGAGCCAAGTGTTGCAGTGCGAGCTCTGGGACTGGGACCCGGGGATGGGCATTCAGAACGATGATTTTCTCGGCAGGTCCGTTCAAACGCTACTTGTGCCATGTCACTAGCGATATATTTTCGTGTTGTTTTTATACATTTTTACACTGGGATTTTTAATGTTATTGTTTTTTTTACACTTTTTTACATAGTATTGTGGAAGGTGTCAAGATTCACTTAATAACTAACCAGGAATTTGAATTTTACGTCGCTTACAATAATTAATTACGTGTTGTATTTTTGACATCATATTAGGTAGAAACTACATAATAAGTAGTGCTATAACTAATCGGGACACTAAACAGTTTATACAGGTAAAATATTTTCGATTAAGTTGTGTGTGTATGAATAAATCATGTCGCGCGTCAGGAATACTCACTAGTAACAATACTTAAAATAAACTGAATCCATATTCAGCTAATGTTAACACTATTTATTTTGTACAATAACATTGGGTATTATTCCACAGGGTAACTTGTAAAGGATGTACAAACTTGAAATCCAGCGATAGATATATCAACAACTGTCTCCAAAATATAATTATAAGTTTTAATCTTTGTTTAAAGTTTTGTATGAATGGTTCGTTTATTTTCATGTGCAGTTTCATGAATACAAACCTGGGTTTTAGGTTAGTATAGCCATGCTGTCCGATTAAACCTGTAAACATTGTGTTATATTCATGGTGGTAGGTAGCTATATGAGCTTTATATGTGTGTGTAACGTGGTGGGTTGTGACAGTCAATACTGCGATGCAAGGAGACGCGCGCAGTGATCAAGCTTTACGACTGGGACCGCGCGGGCAGGGACGAAAAACTCGGCAGGTCGGTCGCTGCCAGAACACCGTACCATCATATAGTCCGTCTCGTGCGAAATGAGTCAAAGTACGAGCAGTAGCTATAGTTTCATACAGAAAACAATTCTATCGATGAAAATAAAGAGCATTATGAGAAATTTTACTTTTACTCAGTTCGGTCGTGTACGGTCTACACTAATTACAACATTGTGCGGAAATACGACAACCGCACATGTCTCCCACTCAGTACTAACAAGTCTAACTGTAGATGTTCATACAATAAGCACAAATATATGAAATTGACTGTCACTGCAGGACACATGCGGCATTAGTATACTAACACTGTATACACATTGTAAATACACGTATCTAAATCATCGATTTAAAAGCAATACTGTATTTCATAACCTCATATATTAACACACTTCATTAATAATTATTATATAATTTATAACTGATTACGTCACACCTTTGTTCTCTAGATCGACAATTGTTACTGGTTTCTTTAGTCATTACAGTATTATCTGTAACATTCGTGGTGTTTGATCATGGCTATAGGCGACGGTCACCACTTCCAAAATGGTAAAATACAATAACATTAATAGAATATGTGAAATAAAACTATATTTATTTTTAATATCAATCTAATGTATATAATATGTATTTATTTATGCTAAATTAATTACATTGCTTAATATATAAATTATTACACAAGTAGTTGAAAAGTATTACCAAAAATTTACTATAATAAAAATATTTATACATATATATATATTACACCCTATAGTTCGAAGTAAATTTTCATGGCTTCGCTTTATTACTAATGCCACTGAATTATATTCTGTAACCCAGGATGTATTAAATATGATTAAAATATCAGTAAAAAGCTTTATTAACATTTTTGTGTTGCATGTACAAGAAATCTTAAGACACTAACTATATTTATTAAAAGAGTAAAAGATACTTTTCATGTAAAAAAATAACCCAATATTGTGTTTATTGATTTATTTATATTATTTGCAGATGTTCAATGGACATTTCGCAAGTTGTGCGTTTTGGACGCTTAGATACGGTAGTTATAATGTTTTTAATTTATTATCCATTTAATTATTATTTATTATGTTTAGTTTAGAAGAATTTAATTATATGCATTATATTTTTTCCAGTGGCAAACTCTTCAACAAGCTAAACATGGCAAAGTTCATTTACGTCTCTCATGGCACCGTCTCTCTAGCGATCTGCTGGATTTGAGTCACGTAAATATTTTTTTTTTTTTTTTTTTATATATATATATATATATATATATATATATATATATATATATATATATATATATATATATATATATATATATAAGTTTTGATTATATATTATATAGGTGGTATTGTTATTTTCTAGGCACTCACTGAGGTCCAATTAGTAAAGACTGGTGATTTGAGCTCTGCTGTATTATCCGTATACGTAGACTCGTGCAAGAAGTTACCTGTAAGTTTTTATTAACAATTTTTTTTTATACAAATTGGAAAGTCAAACAATCTGACAAATTGACAAGCGGAAATATTCCCCATGCGTTGCCATTCCTGAGGACTCAGGTGTTATTCCTCCGTATCCAGTAAATTCACGCTATCTCTCACCCTTCGAACCGAAACACAGCCATACAAACACAACTGCTTCACGGTTGAAACACGAACGGGACAGAGGTACCCAAGCAATCGACTTTTGTACAAAGTCTCCCTCTAGTAATACTAATACTATAAAACTAAATACCTATTTAGTTTTCAATCCAATTTGCTCGATGGGAAATCTGAATTGGACTGTATGTATACAATTTTGTATCGGTCAAAAAAATCCCAGTACCTTGAAATGTTTACAGAACGCGCGACCACAGTCCAGGCCTGACCCGTATCTGTCAGTGACGGTTGGCAAGAAGACGGAGATCACCGCCGTGCAAATGAGGACTGACGATCCCGTCTACGAAATAGGCTATTCGTTCCTTGTACAGAACCCTGAAATTGATTTACTAGAAATTAAGGTAAGCAAATAACTTTTACAAGTACATGTACATAGCGTCTATGAAAATTTTAAAATCTAAAGAGAAATTGTAGAACGATACTCGAAATAAAATTTTATGCCAAGGCACTTGGCCAGCCTGCTAGAAGTAGGCTGTATCCTTCGCTTACGGTTTGAAAGTTTGTGACGATATTTGTATGTTTATTACTCAACTACGCTTAAACTTTTTGAATGAATTTGTATTAAAATTGTACGTAGGTTATATCGTGACTCATAGGACAGAACCTATTACTGTTTAGCAACTATTTCTAATACAGTTTATTTAAAACGCTATTTTTAACTATAATTGTTATTTAACGTGATTCAGGCTCTGGACCAGAAGACTGGAAGTCAGCTTGGACTGCTTGTGTACTCCATTTCATCATTGCTGAAGCAACAAGACTTGACCATGCTGACACAGCCAATAATGTTACAAAAATCTGGCCCCGAATCAAAGATTATCTTGTCATTGCAACTCAGGGTTAGTGTTATTATTTATTATTGTTTTTTTTACATAATACTAACATAAATATATAATAGAGACATAAATATATGTATTTAAAAATGCTAATAATATGATCTGTGCGAGATTCGATTCCGGCTCAGTACCAAACTAATAATGTCGCGTAATTAATTACTCCTAATAACTGCCAGATTTTTATTCGCCACAAAAATCATTGTTTTATTATATAGGTAGACATTGATAGAAAAATGTTATATATAGATTTTGAAGGAAGCTGTTAAAGAAGAAGATATAGAAGACGAGTCTACTCTAGAGCCAACGAGTGACTCGTCTCCAGTGCCGCCCACGCCGCCTGCGCCCGCAGCCGTCGCAGTGGAGGCAACGGATGGAGTCGTACCAGAACCATTGTTGCAACAACCAAGTATAAGAAAATCATAAATATTTATCACGGATAGATACTTAAATACTTCTAGTTTTCTACCGGACCAAATCATATAAATAAGATGTTTTCCTTTTTATTTGTAACTTACCAATGTGTTCCATAGAAACATTAACTAGCGTCCAAATATATTGCTTTACTGTAACTGTAATTTCTCTGTACAGCACCAAAACCGAGCTCTGCTGATTTGCAAGACATAGAAGATAATCCACCTGACAATGTATCGCAAAACTCAATTCCAGTGGAGCAAATTGTAAAAGAAGTTGGTAAGTAGTTAATTTTATGATTAACTTGATTTCAATTAGAGGTTATACAAAAATATAATAATTTCTATTAAAATTCAAGTGAAATAACAATTTGACATAAAGAATATTTCCACATTGTTATTCGTCGCTTAATGGCATCACAACAATTTCATTACCGTTCTCTCGATTACTTGTTCGACTGTTTGCTGTGAAAATGGTTATTAAAGGAAAATTTTCACACTATGTGCTTTGTTCTAATTCGTCATTAGATAATGAATATATGAAAACTCGTGTGTTTATAAATATTAACATTAATAACGATGTCTTCAAGGCAACCTTAGGATGGAGGGAATAATTAAAAAAAAATTAAACGCAGTATAAATAATATACTCACACGCGGTGCTGCGGCACATTGACTTCTATCCATACGGAACATTCATTTATTTATTGATATAAATAAATACACAATCAGGACAATGTAGTAAACATTGTCTTGATTGTGTTTTGTTAGTAGTTAATAATTTAATAATTCTATTTAGATTGGAACCCATTTATTTATATTTTTTCTTCACCTTCTCTGTTACAGATGTAAACCAAGACTATCAAGCGCCTTCATCTGGTCGTCAATCCCCACCCTCAAAATTGGTACATAGAATATCTTCATTGACTACGTGAGTGCTTTAGTTTGGTATACTTTGTCATTTGGAAGCAGAGTTTAGTACTGGTAAAAAAATATATACCGGTATACTGAACATCGATACTTTACACCGTACTGGTACCGGTACCGGTACCGTATTAAAAACCTCTGGCGCTATCTGAACTTACCCGCTGTCTCAGTACCACGTTACTCGTGTGTCTGTCCATGATATAACTGTATTATATACATATACCTATACTTCTTTTTTTAAATGAATGATAATGGAATGGTATATATGGTAACCCCACCCACGCTATCGGTATACACCGGCGGGGCACCAGTGAAGGATGATAGATGAGGATGAAGTAGGTCAGTTAACCCATCGTGACGAATTCAACAAGAATTGTTCACGATGATTTCCAGGGAGAACCACGTGGAGGTCGACCTAATAAGGTATATTGTTAGCAATGGGGCTGTCAAACTCTATTGCTAACAATCCTTTTCCCCCCACATATACCTATACTATAAAGTACTCATTTGAAAAATTTGTGAAATTACCTGTACAATTTGTATTGGTACAGTGTGAGGGTCAGTGGAACCGGTTGTTCAAATTGCCAGTATCACCCTGTCTGGTAGTGTCTAAAGCTTACAAACGACTGGATTCCCAAAACAGGAGGAAAGGGCTGATTTAATATCTTTCTTTGATATATGTTTGATTAAGTGTGATTTGTAATACACACACATCCCACATTTGACATGTTGAATTTCTCTCTCTCTCTCTCTCTTTCTTTATAAGCTAGGAAATTAAAATTCATAGTTTATTTTATAAATATAATAATCATGAATGATTCTGTGACATGTACATTGTATTATTCATATTTTTTCTCATTCAGGTCTGCAGGTGAGGCTGGTTTGGGTCGAATATTACTCTCACTTCGTTATAGCATGCAAAATCAAATTTTGTATGTTGTTGTACATAAAATAATGTAAGTATTATTAGACATGTACAAATGTTAATGTTTTGCTAATTATTAACGTACGTTTGACTGTACTGATAAGTATTATATGGAAATAAAATGTATGCAATTATTTTATACATACATAATTATCACCGGTGAAAATTAAAACATAAAAATTATTTTAAAATTAAAAGCGGAATTAGAAGTATATACGTGACGGTTACCACTTTTCACCAAGTGAGCCGCCAGCTTATTTAACATTTATAAGTTGCATAAAAAACGCATATATTTCGTTTTCCTATTATGACGATAAAATCGATAATCGTATGCATTATGAACAACGTCAATGCCATAGGGTCCAGGGATATGCTCAACAGTAATGCCTCTCATTGCTATAGATAGATTTATTTGCATTACTTACTTACAGCACACAAATTACAACATACATATACAAAAAAAAGCGAGATAACATGAATGATAAAAAAAAGTAAATAAAGCTAAATACAATTTTCGTTTGTGAGTGTGCCATAGCAATACAAAATGGCCACAACTCAGTTTATTACTTCGTCCTCAAAAGAGCAAAGCACTGATATTCTGTTGCGGCCAAAGGGAATAGGGTAACAATAAAACAATACTATCAGATTATTCATACAGTGAATAGATAGATATACAGTAAACAGATAGATATGACAGTTATCTAGCAAACAAATGAAACATAGAGGTAACTTGCTGGAATGTCTAACTTTTGCTTCTCAATTAAGAATTTTTGTAAATTAATTTTGAAACGACTTAGCATTTGATTATCATTTTAACAATTTAGAAATATACAAAACATCGTAGTAGCTGGATTTTTTTTTTTTTAGATGTTTCACTTTTTTTTATAAGTTTATCTAATCACTTGTTTATTTACAGGCATATACCTCTAAAGGACCCGACCAACGTGCCTGACCCATATGTGAAATTATACTTATTGCCAGGACGATCCAAGGACTCTAAGCGCAAGACAGTGGTAATGTATCGTATATTTAAAAAAAGTTCTAAATGTGGGCATAGTTCGTTTAAAACTTACTTATTTGTCGATACTAGAAATTATTGGTATTTGGTGAAACTTATAAAGATGGCTTATGTGTTTAGTGAAATCGTTTGGTGTTTATTGAGGGTTTCTTGAATTTCATTCATCATATTTAAACGTCACCATAACGCAAAATAGCAACACTAAATTTAAATGAGTTTACTGTGCGCTACCATTAAATCTACAGTATATGCGTATGTATTTATAGGTGGTGAAGGATAATTGTATGCCAGAATATGATGAGCAATTTGAATGGGCAATTCCACTGGCAGAATTACACTCTAGGCAGATTGAAGTGACGGTCGCAACGCACAAGGGCTTTCTCGGCGGCAGCCCTGTTATTGGACAGGTAACAATTTCAGTAATAAACAAATGTATTGTTTTTGTATGTACTTATTATAAACTAATAATGATTGTCATATATTGTATTATTATTCCTTTACATACTTATTCAGTTGAATGCTGATGTCTAGCCTTTGTACACAATAGTGTACAATCGTAGGACGCCAGTGGATGGTGCACGTATCTGTGTTAGAGAGCAGTTCAATATTCATTCTTTTAAAAAACTAACCTAACCATATAAAAATGATAAATACTGATCAATATGACCTAATTAAGAATTATAAAAAATATCAGTAATTATTTCATAACATTATTTTTTGCGTTTTGTTCTATATTGTGTGTTAAATTACTTGTTTCAGGTCCTAGTACACCTCAATCAATATGACCTTCGAGAAGCAAAGACCTTATGGTTTGATCTGATGCCGGAAACAACCCCTAGAGATTAAAAAATGAAAAAATATGGCATAATGTATAAAATATGTGAATCTATTCTTTTTTTAAATAAGGATCTGCAGTGCTGCCGTGTCCACTGTACCACAACTAATGATAAAATAACCAAAATATTATTGTTAGTAAAACAGTTAGAACACATACTCATTTTGTTGAAAATGGTGGATACACCTAATATTGTATATTATTTACATAATATGATTTCTATCTTAGCAAAAATACATTTTGCACACTGCAGTGGCTACCGTACTTTTTATATTAGTGATCATGAATTTTCTATTTTTTATTTATTTATCAATTAAGAGTTAACTACTAAAGTGTTTGTACTGTATAAACTCGAAAGCTTATGAAACTAAATTAATGTTGTTCATGTTAAACTCGGGGTTTCCTACTGATCTAGTTTGTAGAAATCTACAGATATAAGTGGTTTAGATAATTCGACTAGCATCATATATAATGTAAGTGAATAATCGCTCCACAAAGAAAACAGCACTTTCAGTTTGATCTTATGTCAAAATTGATGTGGTAGTGAGGAATTATTAAAGTTGATTCAGAATTAGTAAAAATTATTGCGTAAAGTATACATAAAAAAAATAAAAACTAATGTTTAATGTCACTTAAAAGTGGATTACAGCTGTAAAATCTTCATGTTTTCTAAGTACTTATTATTAACAATGGAAATTATTATGTTTATATTGTTTACCTATAGTTGTGTATGTCTGTTTTATACACCTTTTTTTTACACATGTTGTATGGTTAAAATAATTTATTGTTAATTTTATTATGCAAGTCTTATGATTATATGTTTAAGGATGGTAAATGATATTTATACCGCTATAATGTGTCGTATGTACGATAAAGATATCTTTAGGGCATTGGCCAATTCATTATATCCAATCTATTGACAGTTGCATATTATGTTGTAAAACTTATGTTATCTCACGATGCTTTGCCATCTCATCTTCTACATACATTTATTTATTATCATTATAAAATAATTTCCGGTGTCACTATTTAAACGACCTATTAAAATGTACAAAAAAGGGTCACAACGAGATTTCTTAAATTTGATAGTGTATACTGTATTAGTATATCACTAAATAAATAAAGTGAAATCTGCATTTCACTAATCAGTCATTGCTTTAATTGTATGCTTTTTAAAATTATTATTAAATGAAACAAAAAATTAAAAGGATTTTTTTATCTGATCTAGTTTTTAGCGAGGACCCTGAAATATTAATAGAGCATTGAAACAAATATTTTTAACATTTCTTTCATATGAATTGTTATATATATTGAATTCATATATATATATAAAGGGAAATTTTCGACTTTATCTGAAAATCTTCATCAGGGGGCGTTTGACGTTTTGTGTCAGAGCCCATAACATCAATGCGGGCGGGGGTGAGAGCGGAGATAATGGTGACCGGAGATAATGATGTTGTTGGAGATGAGTAGCTGTATCTATGTAGTAGATATGGTTATAACATACACAAATCTAATTGAGAACAATCTAATATCTGTGTTTTAAAGTCTTATGAATATCTACAAAAAATCACATAATTTTCATAAAAGGATCAGATTTCATAGATAACACTAGGTTCTTCGCCCACTGTATGAATTATGGAGAAGTTTCCATCATTGTTAACCGTTCGTAAAATAAGATGTTAAAAATTGGAATTAATCGTCCGCAGCATTTGTTAATAGACTGTATGAAGTTATTACGATGATAGTAGGTAAATAATGAACACAAGAGGATAATGAAGGTAGAGACCACTGACCTGAAGCTTTGTAGTTAACAGGATTCGGTTCTGGCTTTAGGCTTCCCAGAACTTCTGGCTCATTCGAACTTACCCTCAGATCCGGGTTACCTATCCACCGCCTTGAACCGATCCACAGTGTAACGCCCTCTACTCGATCAGCCTCATGGTTATGTGTTATATAATTAAAAGCGATATGAAACGATACATATTAATATGCACGATATTCGTGGCAATATATGCACGCACGCGATAAGATTCGACAACGAGAACGACGACAACGAACGCGCGTTCTACTGGCACATCCGATAACAATAGACTTTATTTTTTTACGATATTGTTGCCAGGCGAAATTTATCAAAGCTACAATTCTTAACAATCATAATTCATAATTTTTTTATAGCTACCATATAATAATGTAATGTCTACAGAGCTGCAAAATGCAGATTTTCGTCATTTAATACAAAAAACATATTAATTTATTACCGAAGACACCCGATGTCATGCAGCCACGGGGGAATGCATGCAGCGCACTGAGTATGGTTGCAAATAGATTAAATTACAAGTGGTAAAAATAGGTTTAATAACAGAGTCGCAGATACCTTATTATCTATATTACAGTCTTTCACAAGGTATAGAAACAAATCATTCAATTAAAATAATCCACACAAAAAAAATATAATAATTAAGATCAGCGTTCTAAGGTATTTGGAGTAAACTTCTGTGCAATTATTTTTCCATAGCCACCACGGCCTCCATCATAGTCTGTTCTATATTCATCTCTGACCTACAACAAATACATAAAAATGAAACAGCTAATTACATTTACATTTTGATTAAAAAATTGATTTATGCGAAGATAATGCTATGAGAACAGAGTTCCATTTTTACTTTTTCATTCTATTACATTTATAAAAGTTATTTAGTAACAGACTCAATTTAGCAATATACTCTGTCAGATTAATCTCTGCATGGTTCCCTTTGAAAGTCATAATAGTTAATTCTTGATATATTTATTACAATGGGCCAACTGATTTGCTATCATCCTCATCTATTATCTTTCACTGTTACATTATCTGTATGTACTGATAGCGAAACTGGGTGTACCACTCTAGTGTCCACTAAAACAACTTTAAAAGTATGTTCTTGTATCTTTCTCTTAAGCATATGCCTTGTAAAAATATGTGAATTAATGCAATAATTCTCATTTATAAAAATGTTCTGAATAGAACATGTTATCTTTAAAATTATACACATTTAAAGAGACAGGTTGACCAAAACGAAAATAGCTGCTTCAGATGAAGTCTGAATCAGATGGCAGATTATATTCCCACCAGAAATATAAAACATAATTAACATTTTTTTTCCTTTGGTTTTTAATTAAGATGAGACCATCTTAAGTTAAGATCTTGCATCCTATACAATGCGTACTATAATGATTCACATATTTAAAGTACATTATTTAAACATTACCTGGCCACCTGTTTTCCCCCGCCCATACTGACGACCTTCCACAAAACCAGCATCCCAATCACAACGAATTATCCTGTCATCTAATCTAGTCCCATTTATATACCTAGAATAAAAAATAATAACTTACTAAAGTTTGGAAGTGTATTTGTCAATTTTCAAAAACAGTTTCCAATGTTTTTGACTGCTTATTTTAAAAACTTGCTATTAGTTAAATAAAGCATTAATCATGCAATAATATACTTATTAAGCTGTCATTGAAAATTTTGATTTGGATGGTAAAAATGTACTTAAAAAATTTCAAAGCAAAATATGAAGTAGGTGTAAAAATTTTTGTGCTAGATTTTCAATGCAATGTACTCTATGATTAACATTTTATTTCGCTAACAGAGCACTTTTTAAATAATTAATCAAACTTATTGAAAAATGTTCAACTGTTTTTTACAATAGACACATAATTGCAACATTGCCAAACTTTGATAAGCTAAACATACTGTCTTAAAATAGTATATAAATATCTGTTCATAGCCTTATTTTACACAAACATTCTTGGATACTAATGTTAATCATGTAAAAGAGTGTGGTATATTAATTTTAAACTAAAAACTACAATTTAATAGCTAAAAAATGGAATAAATTATGGTTGCCTAAATGGTTATTTTAATAGTGAATATTACAAAGAACCTCAGAGATAATTAATATAAATAACAATTTAATAAAAACTGTAAATGCTAATATTATAAATATGAAAGTGAGTTTATTTGTTACTTTCTGTGGCTTAATTAAATTGCTATAGTATATACATATTGTATGAGACAGAAGATGACATTATTACTTTTTAACACAGTCTCTAGTTACAAGAATGGAATGGCATGTAAAAGCAAGTTTGAGATAAATATGATATTATATTATAAAGAATAAAAAAAACTACACATATGCCAAGGTTTTTCCCAGAAGAATGGGGCTCTTTAAAAAGGGTGTATTAAGGTTTGTTCAGGATCAGCAACGCACACATGACATCATTAGTGTTGCAGGCATGCAAGCACTACAGGGACCATTTATTATCAAACATTATGTTTGTATGTCACCTTCGTAATATAAAAAAAATATAGTATAGTTACACACCTCATACAGTTTTCTGAATCTAATCTTGTATAATACTCTACAAAGCAGAAACCACAAGGTGTTTTTTTGTACTTATCCAGTCCCATAATAACTCTTCTAATATCACCACATTTAGAAAATAATTCATAAATTTGCTCTTCTGTTGTATAAAATGATAAATTTCCAATATATAAAGTTGATGACATACGTAGCAACCGTTCTTGTTCACTTCTGGAGCCCTGTAATGGTAGATGACGTTCAGAAAACCAACCAATTTAAATATTTATTAACAACCTATCAAACTAGTTCTTTCATATATTAGATACATCGAATATTTTTCAAGATTATATTTGAATGAAAATGTAAATAGATGAATCCATTTATTTATATAATTTACTTCTGTTTTTGTAATATGTTACCTTAAAATGTTGATCACGATATGAACTAATTTCAATTGAAGAATTAACCATTGAATCATAACTTCGTTTCATATTGATATTTTAGGTTTACAATTAATTACTAAAAAATGTTATTTCCAATAACAAATAAAAAAATATATGTAGTGGTATTAAATTATAATAAACACTCGAAAGAGATTAAGGAACTTTCACGATTTAAGAAACAAAATCAAAATCCATACATTACAGAGACTAAATGCCACAGAACACAGAGTAGGTTATCACTCCACAGAATAAATAAGTCCAACCTAAGAGACAGATTAAATAATAAGAAAAAATAGCAATTGATGGTGTAGCTTTCATCCTCTTTTTACTAATTATATTTGCATAAGAAAAAAGGAGGCAACCATATGATTTTTATTTTATTTTATCATTCCTTCTATGTAATTCTTGTTCTTAGTCACCAATTAAAGCCATACTTGCTCTATTATTACTTGCTTTTGTGACTAAAGCAGTAAACTTTGATAACACAGATATAATAATATAATTAGTTATACGTGTATTTATCTTTGAGATTGATGAACTGCTCGTAAGTACCAAACCAAGAGATTAATGCCAGTGATACCATAGTAATAGTTTGAATTGAATCTCAGTTTCATCCATTGGGTGGTGATTTTTTAGTTTTACCCAAATTTTGATTGGCAATAAGCTGACGATGCACGTTATAAACAGTGATATCCGTCGCCTATAAACAACATTCTAAAGAACTCTGAATACAGTGTTAAATGTATAGTATTATTATTACTACCTACTTACTACCTTCGATCCATTTTATTATCATTTCCTAATTATCCCATCTTATTAAATACCTACTTGTTTTTTTTTTATGAATGATAATAAAATAGTAGTCCCGGCTGCGATATATGCCGGCGAGGTATCAGTGAGGGATAATAGGTGAAATGAAAAAGCAGGTCCTGCGCAGGGGAGGGGTCCTATTGCTAGGAATATAACCTGTCAGGTTGACTTTCACGTGGTTTCCCCTGGAAACCATCGTGCCGAATTCCTAATGTATTTATTATGATAGGCTAAGGGACCTGCCTTTTCATTTCATCTATGATCCCTCACTGATGCCGGCGTATACCGTTATTGAAGGCGGGTTTACCACTCCATTGTTTTTGATTAAACAAAAACCCCGCTTGCGTTATCAGTATACACTGATGGGGCACTAGTGAGAAATGGCAAGTGAGGATGAAGTTGGTCAGTTGGCTCATCATGACGAATTCAACAATAAATCAATTACGATATTGTCCATGGTGAACCGCGTGGGGGATAACCCCCATTACAATTCCTTCTCCCCCACACAGTTATGTTAGCACAGCTGCTACTGGGAGGAGGGGATTATTAATAATTAACAGCAATGGTTCAATTGTGGAAAAGGTATTGTTAATAATAGAGTCTAACAGCCTTATTGCTAGCAGTATATCCTATCAGGTCGACCTGTACACAGTTCCTCCTGGAAACAAGGAGAAACTGCGTTAATTTTTAACCGAGTCAGGCTAGTTTTTGTCGAATTCGTTACAATAGATCAATTATCCTGCTTTCATCCTCATCTATCATGTGTCACTGGTGCCCCGCCAATGCATATCGATAACGCAGGCGGGGTTACCAATTTCACTTTCACCTATAAAACTACCTTATTTAATTTTACGCCTAGCGTTTTAAAAAGGAGTATATTTACTCTCTGACACGTCTTTGTAAAGCTTCGCTAGGATTCTAGGACAGGCAGCAGACAATTCTGCGTTGGGCATACGCGTTGGCCTCTGTCTATTTAAATAGTAAAAAATAAAACAAATGCATCTATCAATACAAGCCGATAGTTGTACTGCATCGTTCGGTGTAAAATACAATAGGTACGTTTATGTTTAGAACTTTCGAGAAAAATATCGGTCCTAACATATTACGAGGGGGGAAAGGGATTGTAAGTAATGGAGACTAAAAATCCCATTGCTACCAATATACCCAATCAGATCGACCTCCTCGTGATTCCACCTGGAATCTATCATGGTTAATTCCTGATGAATTCATCATGATGGGCTAACTGGCCTGTTTTCATTCTCATCGATCACCCTTTACTGGTGCTCCGCCAACGTATCCCGTTAGCGCAGGCGGGGTTACCATTCCATTTTCACCCATAAAAAAAAAACATATTATTTACTACGTTAGGGGAGAAGGAACTGTTAATAATGAGAAGGTTAGTCCCAATTACTAATAATGTACCTTGTTAGGTCGACTTCCAAGCGGTCTCTCCTGGAAACCATCGTGGTTAATCGTTATGGAATGTATCACGGTGTGCTAACTGACCTTCATTCACCCTCACATATCATCTCTCACTGGTGCCCTGCCAGCAGCGTATACCGATAACATAGCCAGGATTCATCATAATTATTCTCTCAGCCATTATTTGTTCACTGCCGAACATAGGCCTCCTCCAAAGGCTATCATAAGTAACGGTTCTGATTTACCTGCATCCACTGACGCCCTGCATTCCTTTTGAAGTTATTGCTCCATCTTATAGAGAGGTCGTCTGCAGTTAAGGGCGTACTCAGTTTCTGGCTAGGAGGGAAGTGGGGGGGGGGGGGGGCTTTAGGTCCATGTCGTCACATTTAGACACAAACAGTACCATGGCTATTACAGAATATATTATTATGCCCATATTACCCGTCATGTGTTGCTAATCTTGAGGACCATAATGCTATACCTCCGTATATATTAAATTTTTTTTTAATTAAAATAAAGTTGCACAGTTTTAAATGCTTTTTATTTTTGGTTGAATCACTTAACTATATTCATTTTACAAATTAAGAAACACCTATTACATTAAATAATACTTATACATGTTATAAATAATAATTTTAATATATTATTATATTGTATGAAACAAATGATCAGGCCGATTCCTCTTCTACATAATAATCTGATATCCATTTTTAATCACAGTGATACCAGTCTAAAAATCTTGTGATACCATAAGTACCTATTTAGATTGGTGAAATAAACATTTCAGTAGTAGGTGTTACTGAAATGTGCATTTTACCTAACGTAATATAATATATAATAATACTTCAGTATATAGAAATAGATACAACTAATGTGACTTAATTCTTTGGAAGCATTGTTCATTTCATTTTCTGGATCTAAATCGTCGATATCTTGTTAGGGTGAAGACAGATATGAAGGCAGTGAAGTGGCTTCGTACGTGTACCCTTATGTTCCTCACCTGTATCATTATGAATGATACATACGGGTGTCCTAATCACGACATCTTTAAAATTCGTAGGTGCTAATCCAAGGTACATTTCTTTAGAGGTATTGACAGGTACGTTTTGTAACAGGCTTTTTGCGGAGCGCAGCGCGTACGGCTTCCTCAAACACCTCATTCATATTAACACGTTCTAAGGCTGAACACTCCACTAATTGAACAGCGCTGAAACAATTAATAAAAAAAAAATATTTATAGGTAGGAAAGAAATTAAAATACAGTAGGTGTAAAAACTGTAACAAGTGGAAGGTCGGAACAGAATGCGCCGACTCTTGTGTAAATCCTCGTAGTAATCCTACAATGGGGTCGATTCTGAATCGCCTATCTTCTCTCAACCTATCTCTTAACTTATGTAATATTATAATTTTAATGTTTCGTTAAATTACTGTTTTCTGGATCATCATAAACTGATTTATAATTTTGATTTAAATATATTATAAATTTACCTCATATTACTCTTTAGAATTTTTACTATACCAATTTTATATCACTGCGAATTCCCTTCGCTTTGATATAAAATTAAATATTGAAATATTAATTTTGGAGATAGGTTTAAAGAAATAGTACCACAGCATCGACACCAATGTATTCTTAAAGAGCCCAAACTAGAAGGGACAACACTCAAGTGGAAATACCAAAAGCAGAAACACAGGTAAGATAGCAGGTCTCTCCTCCATTCTTTCTCCAGAATTTGTCTCGGATTTGAGTACTTTTAGGATTTTTACGGACAAGTCGTCTGATTCAGTACGAATAAGCGAGGTTTCATAGGATTTCATGTAACGAATTAAAAATTCTACTTTTTAGGCGCATTCAGCTCTCATCAGATATAAATTATATATTTCAATTACTCCCAATATATATTTATATAGATACCTATATGTATTTAATGTAATATCATATGCAAATAGATACTTGTATTTATTATTAATAAGTCTATTCTATAGCGTCTATGTCTAAAATGTAACTGTAATATCAAAATTATTAAAACTTTATTATTTATTTAATATTACAGTTATTATATTTAAAAAATGCATAAGACATTTTAAATATACCTATAGACGCGAATACAACTCATTATAATTTCACGGTTTAGGGAATAGTACTTTATAATTGACCTCATAATGTAGTCATTATACTATTTTTATACCATATTTTAAACGGTTTTAACAAATTTATTATTTATTAGCGTATCAGAAGTGTGCGGCGTTATCACATACGATAAGGGTTGATAATAACTGTCGGCGTTTGCGCACGATAACTCGCTCCCTAACAAATTTTCACTTTTAATATTTTTTTAAACAAATGTAAATGTACAATACACACTCTATATAACGGTTTGTGTACAGTTATATTATTTTAATTGCCGAAAAAGAAGATATTATTTATATAATTACCAAGTTTGTTATTAAAAAAAAGGTCAACAGTGGCAATAATATATATATATATATATATATATATATATATATATATATATATATATATATATATATATATATATATATATATATATATATATATATATATATTATGATATTCAGTGATTATAAATCTGTCAGGCTTCATCGTGATGAAACTATACAATGATTATGAATGATCGTTACGTTACAAAGAGTTATAAAATAATGGAAACACCTTGCGTCAGAAGTACAATGAATTTTTTTTTTATTTATATGAAGTATCCCGTGTAAATTCAATTAGTTAGGAGCCACGGGTACCATGTAATAATAAAATTATAACTTACCGTATTTTCTTTTTTAATTTCTTTCCTTCCTGATGTGTAATTATTGCTTTATCTGTCGACCTTAAGTCAACTTTTGTGGCTGAAACACACAAATATAAATTATATAAAAACACGGTAAATTACTGGGTAATTATTTGTCACAATAATAATTGGATTAATTTACCTACACATAATAAGGAAAACGTTTATTTTTTGTATTGGATATGGAAGGTTTGCGTGATCATTTAGTGAAACTTAGGAACAGATCTATTTAATAAATAAGTGTTATTATTTATTTATTGTTTTTCCATTCAATTTGTTAATGCCTAGATATTTTATAGTAAATACAATAGAGCCTACACATTTTTTAAAAGCCAATATTAAGTCAGCAACTCAATTGGTGTTGCTCATATTTCTGGTATTTGTAGTAAAATGAAACCCTGTAATGTCGATGGTGCTATAGAAAAGATCTCAGGAATTGCCATTACCAGTACGATAATAGGTAATTCTATGAATTTTATTAAAGAATTACTCACCTACTAATACAATGGGAACAGACGAACTGAAATGCTTCAACTCCGGGTACCACTTGTGCACGACGTTGTCGTATGAGGAGCGATTGTTTACCGAGTAACATACTAGGAAGCAACTCGTCTGTAATGCATAATTAATGTTTAATCAATGCTTTATTGTGTTCTTTATAACAATAGATAAAGTATGTATGTGCGAATATGTATTAATTTATTCAGAGTATTTACAGAAAGATTTTTCAATTTAACAACTAATATATAGAGATAAACGATGTATTTTAAAATATTAAATTAACTAAACGATGTATGTTCTTCAATTGATATGAAAAGTAGTTACTAAATACTGTTCAAAAATTATCAAAATTAAGTTTACTTGATTAAAGAATATTTATTTCCGTTTAAATTAAAATTTTTAATCGTAAGTACACAATTTTGAAGCCATGATAAAGACCACTAAGTGTTATAGTACATTATATGTACAATTTATGTTGTTCTCTACACAAGTAAATTGTATATACGAGTGACTACTTTACTGTGCCTCTCCAGATAAGGGAGGTTTCATTAGCAATTAGTAAATAAAAATGCCAATAAAACCTCCCCATATCTGCTTATGAATGAATGAATGTTGTTGTTTGAAAGATAAAATATTTTGTTGGAACTTCCGGACTCACACGTCTCTTGTGATCACTAAGTACGAAACTTACGTTGTTGTATGAGAGTGGCCTTAGTCTTTCGTAATCTTCTTGACCAGCTGTGTCCCATAGCGCCAATTCTACTTCTTCGCCATCTACCGTGATGTTACCGAGATAGTTGTCAAACCTGTTAAATTTTATTTAAACAGGTTAAAATTGTTACATCCATTAATAATGTACTGAATTGACTTTAAAATTGATTGTAATATTTTTTGAATGGAATTAATTATCCTTTTAAGCAGTTTGTTTTCTACCTAAACTACCTGGAGGGAAAGGGATTGTTAATAATGGGGTCTAATAGCCCCATTACTAGCAATATACCCTCTCAGGTCGACCTCCACGTGGTTCCCCCTAGAAACCATCATGTTTAATTCTTGTCGAATTTATTATGATAGGCCAACTGACGTGCATTCATTCTCACCTATCATCTTCCACTGGTGCTTCGTTGGTGCATATCGATAGCACGAGCGAGGTTACGATTCCATTTTCACCCATTAAAAACCTAAACTACCTAGAAATCTTCTAAACGATGTCTATATTTACGAAATATAAGCGACCGTATTAAGAGCAATGGAAGCAAAAATGTACATAATATTTTTTAAATACGTGTCTGTCTGTAAGTGCCAGTATCATGCAAAAAGTACTACACTAAATCGAATGCAGTTTTATTTGTTCCTGAAAGTGGAACTTAAAATCTGGTGTAAATTTAATCTTTATACACCATTTAATTATACTTTTTTTTCTTATACAACAAAGCAGCATTTTAAAATCCATGCATACGTAGTCGCGGTACTACTTATTTGTAATACACGAGTACGTATTTATAAGATTTTTTGAAAAAACAAAAATGGAATGGTTTTGCCATCTATGATTTTAATATAGCGTGGACTTAGAGTAAGGTGGATGAAAATAAGGATGAAATTAGGGGGGCCCTTTAGTATCAATTCTTTTCTACTCATATAAGATAGTTGGGGATCCTTTGGTATGATAAAACAATTTAATAGTCAACCTATAGTAAAAAATGGAAAAGGTATACTAAATATTCCGCCACTCGATGGTATACCTATATTCTTAATATCGAATGTAATTTTCCCAAAAACAAAGCCCGAAAAATATATATACAAAATAAAAGGCTAAAAATGTTTCATATTTCGTCCAGTATTCCTTAAAAACAGCCTTTAACTTTTTCAGTCATTTAAAAAGGTAAAAATTAATGGAGAATGTTTCCATTTTAGTTTCCAGGTCACACAAAAATTTTGTGTGACCCTACGTCACAAGATATATTTTATACTTCTAAACTGATTTTATTAATTCTTTTTGCAATTGTTATGATAGATTTTGTTACGACCAATATGCCTTTTTAAACTGAACTGACTGAAAAAAAAATATACCTTATTACTACACTAAAGTGTACATTCACATTAAAATTTAATTCGGTTCAGTATTCATCAGTCACAGGAAGTCGTGAAAACAATTAAGTACTTTAATATTGAATTACTACTCTATGTGTATGCAGTCATTGACTGTGTCACATAATGCATGAAATGAAACAATAATTTATACCTAGATATATTTGCCAGTAATATAGAGATGGCAAGGAAGTAGGACAAGCAGTAGGCGTACGTCTAGTTCCAAGGAGGAAACGGCAACGCCCGTAACCGTTCACGAGTTGACAATACAACAATACCGCGACATATTTGACTTTATAAATAGTGCAGCTCGCAATGCCCAGCGGGTACCTGTCCAATATTAGAATCGACCACCAGCCGCAAACACTGCAATAATTAGAAATTCAATGTTACTAATTAAGTACCCTACAAAGAGCATCGTGCATTACCCTACTTACTCTGACTCCGAGGGCATATTGATCATACTTAGCAGATACCAAAACCTCTTCTCACCAAATCTCCGATAATAGTAAACACCGATAGCAAACGCTTGACAGAGCAAGAAGTAATCTCCGTCAAAGTGGATTCGTATACCAATTTTCATTCAAATTCGCTTTGATTTACTATTAATTTGGAAAATTATGTCACATAATAACTTGTCATCCTGTATGGTCATATATATGATTAAAATTAATAAGAGCCGCATGATTACACCGATCACTTAGACTTTGCAATTCTGGGGGCCCAACCAAACTACAACTAATTCCAAAAAGTTCGTGTCCTAAATCAGCCTGTTCGAGAATCGATCCTGAGACCTCATTTGCCCGCTATTGTGCTACTCTGGCGCTACGGAGATCATCAAATGTCGTCGATACATGAAAGAAAAATAAACGTAGCCGAGAAATTAGATGTAACAATCTTAGAATAAGTATATACCTACAACGAGGTCTGAAAGTTACACGGGTAACAGAAAAATTAGAAGTAACTGATTATATCATGGTGTTATAATCATATGCAGGTTATGCAGAGAAATAGAAATCATATTTGACTGAATTTTGTAAAGAATCAACAATTCGTTAAGTAATCTAATTTTATCGTCACTTATTATTCCTATAGATACATACCACAACAGTTGCGGGCTCATCTATTAGTACATTACAACCTAAGATTATATTACCTTAGTTATAATGTAGTGATTCCTTACTGTATGGCACTGTATTAAACTATATCAATTGCAGAGAGATTATTAAAATCAGATTGAAAACGCAATAGCCTAACCTTAGATTATATAGACAGAGCATGAAGTCTCAAAAACGTGTCAACTTTTCATCAGCTAATTCTCAAATTAGTTGACTCGTTTTTTATTACCACTGTTTTATAAACTTACGCATACAATGTATCTTGACGTATTATTTAACAAATAAAATGAGTGAAAAGAATGAGAAATTAAATGAAAATAAATATAGAAGTTATAAAAGAATTTTAGAGGCGGGCCTGTGTTTCTGCTTCTAGAGTATAATGTCAGAAGTACAGATACAGGCCTACCCTACTTCCTCCTTCAGAGGGGGTGGGGGGGCGTGGTCTTGAGGGAGAGCGCAGAAGTCGTGTAGATCCTCAAGGCAAGTGCGGTAGACTAGCCTTCACGAGGTTGCCGCCTTGTTATTGGTCTAGTTCCTTAAGAAATAGACGTAACTAAAACTGCCGTGCGTCCAATGCAGGGATGGAGAGGTCATGTCCTTGCGTGTTCATCATCAAACAAGACTGATGGTGGATAGTAATGACCTCCCGCGTGTTTGTGCCGTGCGCGGAGACCCGTACGGAGGGATGAAGGAGTCCTGGAGATTGAGTGCAGCAGTGTGCCGGCGGTAGTTGTACGCTGCTCACAACACATCTCTTCGGTCTGGATTTCCTCTCAAACGGGCGGTCGTGGAGTAGCTAACCACGATCAATCGGCTGCGACATCCCATAAGCGGGTTGTTAAGCGAGGATCGGCGATTTGGGGAGGGGTAGTCGGCGCGGCACGGCGTCTCGAGGTAGAGCCTATGGTATTGTCTCGTGCCGTAGGTGCGCTCTTGATGCTTTGCTGCGTGCAGATTCACCTTCTTCTCAAGTTGCTGAGCCTATACCAAGGGAGTAACTCTGGCGATCATTCGTAGAACGAATGACGTCCCCGACGTGAGGGCTCCGTGGCGGGTGGAGAGCTCCTGAGGTGAATAAAACCAAACAACCTCATGGACAATGAGACAAATAACGAAACAACAAAACCAACATCACAGGCTGCGTCATTGGATGCGCCTGAACATCAATTACCAAAGGCTGCGTCGTCGGATGCGCCTAAACATTCAGAACAAAGGGTTGCGTCTCAGGATGCGCTTAAGCGACAACCGCTCAAGGCTGCGTCCTCCGATGCCCCTAAGTCTAAAAATGCAAATGATGCGCCGAAGAAGGCTGCGTCCAAGGATACGATGAGGAAGGTAGCGGTACGGAATGCGCCAACCCAGGCAGCGTCCCGAGATGCACCACCCACGTCGTTGTCCAAGGATGCGCCGTGCAAGGCAACTCCCTCTACCCGACCAAGGACGGCTACTACAACGGTGGAACCAAGGAAAGACGCACTCCGAGATGCGCCAATTAAGGCTGCGTCAAAGGAAGCGTCCTCCAAGGAAAACCAGTGGTGCTGACCGAGGCTGTGGCGGAGGGTTTGTCTTCAAAGGCTGCGTCAGATGCAGAAATAGACTATCCAACGATGGATATGTCATCCCTTAAGGATGCCATACAATCACCATCAGACTCAACCTGGAAAACAATAACAAAACCAATGTCGGCCTCTAAGAAGCGGCGCCTTAAAGCCAAAGCGAAGGCAGCGGCACAACGTGCATTGGCAGCAGATGCTGCGAGGCAGATCGCGGGACCGGGTTCTCGCCCAGTGGAAACCAAACCAGTAGGAGAGGTAACATTGGGCGGGCCCTCGGCACCTGCGTCTGTCGGTGCGAGTGCTACGCCTTCCACAGGCATACGCAAGCGCAGCATGAAACCAAGAGGTCGAAAGAAATCAGGTAATAATCAACAAAAACCAGAGCCGAGGGCGCAGAAGCGTGCACGTCCAGAGGATTCTGTAACACCGACTGGGGTTGGTAAAAAACCCAAAACCAACAAACCCCGAACGGTGAGAGGAACCGCTGCGTCGTACGCTGAAGCGGCCGCAACCTTCATCGCTAACGAGCTCTGCGTTGCTGTTATGATGGAACCCTTCTCTGACATGACGCAAGAGCAAGCTGAAGGTATTCGGCAAGAAATAGAAGGCAAGCTTCGGGATGAGCTCATGGCGGAACCGGATGCTTCCCTTGAAACTGAACCAAACGATATAAGGTTCCGAGGCCGAGCACATTATGCGGATGGCGTCCTCAAAACCTGGTGCGAGGATGCTTTCACGCTAGCCTGGCTTAATCGGACCGTTCAAAACATGGCCTCACCGGTAGCTAATTCAAAATTGGTTGTCAGGCCACAATCAGCTATCCCAAAGAAAGTACCGTGTCTGCTATTCGTACCGGGTCATACTGGCGATTCAGCTGCACTACGGAAGCTTTTGGCGCGGCAGAACCGCAACTTGAACATTAACTCCTGGACACTGACACACGAGAGGGCCAGATCGGATCCCCCAGGAACCTGTCTGTTCTTCCGGGTGCCGGAAACGGATGCTAATCTGTTAAAGGCCCAGGACAGAAGATTATATTACCTC